ATGCCTTAGTGGTTAAGAGCACTAGCTGTTCTTGCAGGGAACGTAGGTTTGATTCCCAGCACTCACATCAGGCATTTCACAACTACTTGTATCTTTAGTTCCAGAGGAATCTGAAGTCTTCTTCATACCTCTCTAAGCACTGCAGGCAAGCAGCACATGCCACACACAGTCACACGAACACACACATAAAAGTGTAAAAAAAAAAAAAAGGATGGCCTAGTGGATAAAGCACTTGTGTAAGTGTGGGGACCAAAATTTGGGTCTCCAGAACCCGTGCAAAGGTGGGCATGGTAGCATGACTCCATAATCCCAGGGCTGCTATGTTGAGATAAGAGGTGGGGAACCCTTGGCAACTCTCTGGCCACCTGGCCTTGTGCATACAGCTGTAAGCGAGAGACTCTGTCTCAAACAAGGGGGAAGAGCAAACACCAGTATCCCAGTACCTGGAGGTGTCCTGATACCTCCATAATGGCACATGGGCATGGGTGTATGCACACACACACACACACACACACACACACACAGAGAGAGAGAGAGAAAACATGAAGATGTGACCTATGTAAACCCCCAGCCTTCTTGCTACTCTTCCTGATTTCACCCTTGACTTGCAATCTAATTTCCATATGACAGCCAGACATGGATTTCTTTATTTATTTATTTTTTTTTCCAGGCAGGGTTTGTCTATGTAACCCTAGCTGTCCTGGAACTCGCTCTGTAGCCCAGGCTGGCCTTGAACTCACAGAGATCCGCCTGGCTCTGCCTCCCGAGTGCTGAGATTAAAGGCGTGTGCCACCACCCCGGGCCAGGCACTATAATATTTTTAAAGATAGGGTCCTACTATGGAGCCCTGCTGGCCTCAAATTCATAGTGATCCACCTGCCTCTACTTCTCTAGTGCTGGGATTAAAGGTATGCGTCACCATGCCCAGCCCTTTACAAAGCATGAACTTGAAAGCTGGGAATGGTCTAGCATGCTGGATACCCTGGGCTTCATCTCAAGCAGTAGCAGCAGCAGCAGCAGCAGCAGCAGCAGCACCACCACCACCACCACCACCACTAACAACACCACAAAAAACGTAAGTATGGGGCTAGAGAGATGGCTCAGCAGTTAAGAGTGTGTACTGCTTTCGAGAGGACCCTCATTCAATTTCCAGTACCCACATAGGGGTGGGAGTTCACAATTGCCGGTAACTCAAGGGGAACCTGATACCTCTGGCCCCCTGCACATATAACTAAAAATAAAGTTAATCTTCAAAAGAATAGCTTTCTAAAAAAAAAAAGCCTGCTTGGGGTTGTCTTTCTGTATGCTGTGAATATATGTTGTATAAGCTGACTTGGCCTATGGCAAGGCAGCTTAGAGGCAGGCAAGAAATCCGAGAGAGAGAGGAAAGAGAAAGGAGTCTGGAAAGAGAAGCTGAGAGCTGCCGCCAGGAGAAGCAAGATGTAAAAGTACTGGTAAGCCACGAATCCATGTAGCAATGCATAATTTAATACATATGGGTTAATTTAAGATATAAGAGCTAGCTAACAAGAAGCCTGACCCATAGGTCATACAGTTTGTAAATAATATAAGCCTCAGTGTGTTTACTTGGGACCAAGCAGTTGCGGGACGCGGGAGGGGGAGATTCATCCCAACTGCAGGGCCAGGCAGGACTGGAGAAACCTTCCAGCTCCAAAAGCCTTCTATCAAACTTAGACTCAAAGCCAAACTGCTTGCTTGGCCAGCAAAACCCCACAGTGCCTACCTCTGGTTGGTTCTTCCTCCTACTCCTTCCCTTCCCTTTGCTTGCTTAGCTCCATTTGGTCACCTTCCTGTTCCTTAATGGTGTCCTTCCCACACGTCCCTCTGGGAGTATGCAGGGAAAGGGTGACACCAAAGAGATGAGTATGTAGACTATGAATGGCTTGGTGGCTGCTGGTAGGTATGCCCCTAGAAGACCTTCTGCTTGGAGCTCAGTGGTTAAGAGCACTGGCTGCTCTTCCTGAGCATTTGGGCTTGATTCCCAGCACCCAGATGGTGTGGCTCATAACCATCTGTAACTCCAGTCCCAGAGGATCTGATGCCCTCTTCTGGCCTGCATGGGTATCAGGTGTGCATGCTGTGTAAAACACCTGTCATTAAAACAAAACAAAACAAAATGCCAGGCCGTGCTAGTGCATGCCTTTTATCTCAGCACCTGGGAGGCAGAGCCAGGCGTATCTCTGTGAGTTCAAGGCCAGCCTGGTCTACATCGTGAGATCCAGGACAGGTACCAAAGCTACACGGAGAAACTCTGTCTCAAAAAACGAACCACCAAACAAACAAACAAACAAACAACAACAGCAACACCAACAAAAAAGGGAACCTCAGCCAGAGCCAGTTCCAGCTTTACCTACCATAGCAAAGAGGTTGTCATAGCCTTTGACCTTGGTAGGCACCTTGGAGAACTTCTGATCAAAAGCATCTGAGATGTTGTGGGCTGGGTCTGTGGAAATGATTAGAACACTCTCACGTCCTTTAGACAGCTGGACCGCCAGGCTGCAGCTGCACAAAGGAAGGAAGGAAGACGAGGAGTGAGGAGCCAGCCTTGGTAGTGGGGTTTATAGCAGGAGATGCAAGGTCGGGCCGCAGGGACCTGGATCAGAGGGACCTTAAGAGCAAGCATGGGAGCATGCCTTAACATCTGCAGAGATCACCACCTGATCCTTTCATTTGGACTGGACTGGTGTGCAATGTTTAGTTGACTGGTTCGGCCTGTTAGAGTGCCTGCTTTTTTGGTATGCAGTGGCACAGTCCAGCTGTCCAACCAGCACAGATTGCTCTTCCTCCCTCCCTCCCTCCCTCCCTCGTTCAGGGACAAGTACTTCACCTCTCAATGGACTGAGGCACTGTAACCATGTGCCTTTTACACTCCCTTCTACTCCTTCCCGCGCTGGGCATCAAATGGAAGGTTCGTCATACTATAATAGCTTGTATTAGTGTCCCCTCTACTATCAACTTCCTAGGGGGTACTGTCCAGGCAACTGCGATTATTTAAATGCTCCTCTGCACACACCACGCGCTGGATTCACAAGACCCAAAGAGGGATAATCCAACTCAGGACGCCAGGCTTGCATTCAGGAGGTATCTTCGGCAAGCTGCAGTAACTTCCGGAGAGTACAACCCCGAAGAGCCCCGCTCAGCTCGCTTTGCCCCGCTCGGGATGAAAAAGCCGGCCCCAGTCCTCCCCTTCGTCCGGTGGTACATCCCACCCGTCTTCTTGGCCCCACCAGAGCCTCCTTACCTGCAGGTGGTCTTACCCACGCCACCTTTGCCCCCGACGAAGATCCACTTAAGGCTGCGCTGCTCGATGATATTGCTAAGCGTGGGTTCTAGCGGCTCCACATCAGGAGCATCCTCGAACTCTTCTGCCTCAACCCCCCACCCGGCCACCCCTGCCGCCATCTTGGAGCCGGGTCACGTGATCAAGCGGGACGCACCACGTCCTAAACACCTACAGGGGAAACGAATCTGCCACATCCCTGTGGAGGCGGGAAGCCTGACTTATTCTACTCCTGCATTGACATTTAGGAACAAGAGACGCTATATTTTCACCGTTTTATGCGTCGAGGACTCACCTTGGTGATCTTTTGTCTGTAGTTTTCTCAGAATGACCCTGTCTTGTAAGTATATTGGTATGACTCACATCATTGCCTTCCAGTGATTGGATCCTAAGTCTTGCGGTACTCTTTTCATTGGCTGTAGCTTGTTTCACTTCCACTAGTCACGCTCAAGTCCCTGTAGGCGGCAACCTCTCTCTCCTTAGCAACCAGCCAAACATCCCGTCTAAGCTCTTTGAAGTTAGAGCAGAGGTGTCTCTTGGCTCGATTCTATAGGCTCAGTTTCCTGATGATCATTTCCTCCTTACTTTCTATTTTGTACCTCAACATCTCTTCTTGTCCGCCACTTACTCAGTTGGTTGTGAGCCACCTGGCTCCTGCCTCAAGCCAATCACGAACGAACTGGTTAGTTGGCTGAGGGTCCATAAAAGGCAAAAAGACTCCATTTGTGGCAGGGTATGCAGACTTTTGCCTCTGTGCTCGGAATACCCATGCTGGGCAGGAATGATATCTGCAACAGTCGTCCTTGTAGAGAGAACTTTAGTTTCCGAAACTCTGGTTGCGCTTGGCGTTGTGCTCCCCCCTTGTACACGTGTGTGCTCCAAGTTCAGCAAACGCTGTTTGAATTGAATCCCTGTTCTCTGGAAGGAATACAAGGGTTCTTAGTCCCCTTGGTGCAGAACTCAGCGCAGAACATTAACTCTTAGAGAAGGACTCAGCCTAGAATTTTCTTCAGCTTCATTTGAGTGCTCAGCTTCTAAAATACTACTCTCAGACGGGGCATCTAGCTGCACGTAGCCAGCAGTTTCCTTATTTAAAGGTAAGAGATTAAATTCCGAGATAGATGTCCAACCTAGAGAATCTTCCATTTTTTTTTTTTTCTTTCGGTTTTTTGAGACAGGATTTCTCTGTGTAGCTTTGCGCCTTTCCTGGAACTCACTTGGTAGTCCAGGCTGGCCTCGAACTCACAGAGATCCGCCTGGCTCTGCCTCCCAAGTGCTGGGATTAAAGGCGTGCGCCACCACCGCCCGGCTGAATCTTCCATTTCTAATAGGAGGTATCAAGTTAGATAGATATGCTTTCCAGACCTAGTTAGAGGCCACCCAAGTTCCCAAGAGTCAATAGAGCACGCAGTCGCCAAACAAGATCTTTTCAATTACAGAGTTCTGGTGGTCGACTGGGACTGTGCTCTCAGCCTTTAGAGGGAACTCGGGTCCCAGATGATGGTTCTATGCTTCTGTCTGTTTAACGAACTCGTGCTGGCAGGATTAGGAAAATCCGAGGAACAGAAGGAAAGGCACCCGGCTTCTGGGCTCCACCCACTGGTCGCCAGGTCAGAGCACCTTTGCCCCACCCAAGCCCCGCCCACTCTGCGTTGGCTTCTGGGATCACTCCTCTCTTCCCAGCATGCAGTGCTTCAGACGAAGCCAGTCCCGCGCCAAGCGCGCGGTCTGAGAGCCTTTCCCGAAGTCCCTTGCGCGGCACCTGGCGACAAAATGGCTGCCCGAGGGAGACGGGCGGAGCCTCCGGGTCGGGAGGCGCCCGGCCCGGCGGGCGGCGGCAGGAGCCGATGGGCTGAGTCGGGGCCAGGAACGTCACCCGAGAGCGGGGACGACGAGGTATCGGGCTCAAGTCCGGTGTCCGGCGGTGTGAACTTGTTCGCCAACGACGGCAGCTTCCTGGAGCTGTTCAAGCGGAAGATGGAGGAGGAGCAGCGGCAGCGGCAGGAGGAGCCACCCCCGGGCCCGCAGCGACCCGACCCATCGGCCTCCGCCGCGGCGGGCCCAGGGAATCCGAAGAGGAAGGGCGGCCCAGGCCCCACACTCAGCTTCGTAAGGAGCCGCGGGGGTGGGGGCGGGCCCCGGGGCCCGTATTGGCAGGGGGAGTCGGGCCCGGGAAGGGGTGTCTTGGTCCCAGGCAGTCCTCAGCCGGGATGCCCGGACGGTCCCGGTCGCTTGCTGAGAATGTTGAACCTGGATTCCGGACGAGGGGTGTTTCTGGGCGGTAGTGGGAAGCCCCAGGTCTTACTCGCGGGACCTGGGAACCGGGAAATTGCATTGGAAGCAGCGCTCTGGGGATAGGGAGCCCTAGATGCTAGGATTCCTGTTTGATTTTGACTTTGAATAGTGGGGACCCAAACACACAATTTGAGGGAAAAGGAGGGGACAAATTCAAATTCCGAGTCTGCTGTATTCGTTAGACTCACACCACGGACCGTAGCCGGGCGTGGTGACACACGCCTTGCAATACCATCACTCCGGATTCAAGAAGACCGAGGATTCGAAAGTGAGAGCCTGTCCTAATTAAACAAAACCAACTAACCAACAACAAAAAGCAAGTCACTGACTTTGTGACCTTAGGAAGATCATTCGATTTCTTTCTATATCATTTAACTGTTGTCCGTTTATTGAGCACCTTACCTTGTGATGGGTAATCAGTGGTGAATTTGACAGAACAGAACGTTGTTTGTTTGGAGCCTGGGTTGCCTACTCTGATTTTCTGTAGTTCTAGTAATTAACATCATTTTTCCTTTTGATATGAGTATCCCATAGAAAAGTCAGTACACACTCTTAGAGAAAGAACTAGACCAGTGGTTCTCTACTGGGGACAAGTCTCCTTACCCTCATGTATTTTGTAAAGTCTGTAGACATTTTGGTTGTTAAAACTCTGAGAGGAGATGCTAGTGACATCTATGGGTAGGTACAGGAATGCTATTCAATATCCTACAGTGCATGGGATAACAAAGAATGATCTAGCTGAAAATGCCGAGAGTACTCGGTTGAGCTCTAGGTTAAATCAATTGGACATATAATTTTTGTTAGTTTTGAGCTTGCTTTGTCTCAGGCGTTGCATTAGAGGCCCTGTAGTGGGGAGGAAGAAATATTGGTTTGAGAATAGCAGATCGTGGGTCAAATCCTGGATCCAGCTCTGTGGTTTGGGGTAAGGCTCAAGTTTCTTAACCTCTTAAAAGGGTGTATGAGCCAGACAGGGTGGTACATACGTGTAATCCTAGCACTGTAGAGGTTGAGACAGGAGGGTTGCAGAGTTTGAATTCAGCCAGGGTTATATAGCAATAACCTGTTTCTAGAAACAACACAAAAAGGGTGTGTTTGTGTGGGAGCTGAGACTGGAGGGCCTCAAGTACAGAATGAATTCAGAGCCAGCCTGAGCAACTTTGTGAGACCCAGCTTAAAGTACAAACAAGAGGTGTGGGGATTTAGCTCTGTTAGATGCTTGGAGTGCTTGATCCTAGATTCCATCTGCAGCATCTCACAAAAAGTGGTGAGTGGGGCGATGTAGTCTCAGCAGTGTCTGATGCCTAGTTGAAGGGTGAGCACAGGATGTTGTCTTAGAGGCCCCCCAGTTAAGGGGAGAAGATGGGATACCAGGGTGAAAATCCAGAGCAAGACTGTTCTTAGAGGAAGTAGAAAGTGACAGTCAAGAGTAGAGGTTGAAATCTTTTCCAGGAATGGGAGCAGCAGTAGTGTTACTATTATTTTCATTTGTTCATGAGTAGCCATTATAGTTACACCCCTAAAAAAGCCAGGCCAGATCAGGACAGGAGAATTAAGGATACTTTGTGATTCAGGATGCTCTGACTGGCTTTGCACTATCTGATCATGAGTATTGCTCTCTTGTTGACAGCCTGTCCTGCCCCTCCCAGACACTTGTGTTTTCTCTAAAATGGGGTAGTTATTACTTTCAAACAGCATAACTGAATGTGAGAGGAGATAACATGACCACAGCACCCTTTGGGTGGCATATAAGGCTTGGTATGTAGTAATGCTCAATAAAGGTATTGTTACCTGTATGGTCCCTGCCAGGACAGGGTGAGGCCTGGGCAGAAAGAGTGAGGACAGAGCCAGTCCCCAGTAAGGTGAGCACTCCTCTGCCCCCCTGGGAGGGTAGCCTGGGGCCCAGGACTGCCTGGGCATGGCAGCCCAGGGCAGGCGCTGAGTCGAGTGTGCTCCTCTCTGATTGCTGCGCAGGTCGGCCGGCTGGAGGAGCTGGGCGAGGCGTCGATAGGAAGGTGTAGTGGGCCTCAGCACCGCCAAGGGCGGGCCCGGCTCCTGTAACCCTTGCAGTCTTCTGTCCCTTCACCCAGGTGGGCAAGCGCAGAGGCGGGAACAAACTAGCCCTCAAGACAGGAATAGTAGCCAAGAAGCAGAAGACGGAGGATGAGGTGAGTGGGCTGGCTAGGGGTGCCACCTTAACTGCCTTTTCCTTCCAGACTCAGGCTTTGGATGGGTGGGCCTGGTAGGGTGGTAGGTCCCCAGATAACCTGCCTCTGCATTTTAGTGTGACATCGGGGGTGGGGGAGCTGTCATGATGTTCCTGACTCTTGTCCCCAGCTTCTTGGCATCTGTCTTCCAACCAGTCCTCCCCTCCTCCAACCCCACAGGTATTAACAAGTAAAGGTGACGCATGGGCCAAGTACATGGCAGAAGTGAAAAAGTACAAAGCCCACCAGTGCGGTGACGATGATAAAACTCGACCCCTGGTGAAATGACCCCCTCCCAGGTGCTCACTGCCTGGGACTCTCTGCAATGTACATAACTATTTAAGGCGGTAATGGCAGCGGCCTTCCTGGAGGACTGATACACAGAAGGAAACCAAGGCGCTTCCCGTGGCCGCAGACCATTCTCCAGGACTCTTTTTTTTTACCTTGAGCACTTGCCTCCTGAGACTCACTAGACCAGTGGTTTACTGTCCCCTTTCTTCCCACCACCGCTTTCTCTGGCTCTGTCTCTCTTGCTGTCCTTCTCCTTTCAGCAGTCACTTCTGAGAAGTAAAGAACCTGATTTAGTGCTGGAGCTGTGTGCTTGCTTTGTCGTCTTTGCGGTCTCCCAGCTAAGACTGTCCCCACTGGTGGCTGCCACACCTACCAGTGCTGGAGTGGACCCATTGTGAGGAGGTGAAGGGAAGTTCTGTAGCCAGGGACCATGCGGCCTGTCATGTACCCTCAAGACATCTTTCTTCCCTCTTTAGTAACTGTGGCACTTAGAGTCCTGTCTGGTTTGTGTTTTTATTTTGAGACAGGGTCTTATGTGCTGCACGGGTTTGTTTCCTCCCTTGGCAGCATGGTATGGACATGCACTACCTTCCAAGTCCTTCACAGTCTCGGTTTACTGTGACTTGGCTTGTACTTAAGTGTGAGTGTGCTTGTCTGGTGCACATAAGGCACTGTCCAGTCTCCAGCACCTCGTTGTGTGCTGTGCACTAATCTTACGATTTGGTTAATTCAGAGCTGCTATTTTATTTCTTCCCCAGATAGTGACCAAGCACTTACCACCATATGCCAAGGCTGTTCTGGACTCTGGGGATCAGAGCATCAACCAGCCAACACTCTCCCTGTCCTTAGAGGAGACAGATGGGAAGAAAGCGGGGAGGCTTTTTGGGTGGTGACTACTAACAAGGATAGGATAGAGGCTTGTTGGGGAGGGGATGTCTGTTTTAGGCCTCTTTTTATATTTTTTGGTTGTGAACCTAGCCTTTAATGGTTGATAGATTCTCTCCAGCCCATACGCCACTTTTAAAAAATTTTATTTTTTGCTTTTATGCATGTCTGTATACCACATGCATGCCTGGTACCTGTGGAGACCAAAGATAGCAGCAGATCCCCTGGAACTAGAGTTACAGCTGGTTGTGAACTGTCATGTAGTTGCTAGGAATTCAGCCTGGGTCCTCTGGGAGAGCATCAATGCCTTTAACAGCTAAGTCATCTTTCCAGCCTCCTTAGGTGACATTTGATCAAAGTCTGGAGGGAGGGAGGTGAGGAAGTGTCTCAGTAGAGGTCTCAAGACACTATAAAGACAGGTTGTACAACAGCAAGTTCTGATGGGACCTGAGGAAGGACAGATAGCTCTGGTCCTGGAGTGTTAAGGTGGTGCCCCTGACCATTCTGACAAAGCAATCTGAAGGCACTATGTTCATTCACTCAGTTAACACATATGATGTAGGAGTGGGCATGGTGACTCATGCCATGAGCTCAGTGCTTGGGAGGTGGAGGCAGGTGGATCAGGAGTTTAGGGTAATCCTTGTCTCATGTAGACTCTCTCCAAAAACCACATACAAAAAATAAAGTTGGTCAGGGTTGACAGCTTGAGAAGATTTGCTCTAGATCCCAAAGGTGGCAAGATAGTGTGGAAGGTCCTTGAAAGTGCTCCAGGCAGAGGTAATAGTAGGTATGATCTTCTAGGGTTCATAGGTCTTCAGAGGAATTGGTGGGTGGGTTGTGAATAGGGGAGGAAACACAAACTAACGGAGTCAACTGTGTGGCTGCCTCTTTGGAAGCCAGCAACAGTTGGATCTTAAGCACACATAGACACAAGTAGGTCACCACTGTGGCAGCTTGGCCTCTATTCTGGAGTGTGTCAATAAGCAGAGCGAGTTGAAATCCAGGCCCTTCCCGTCACAGAGTCTAACCAGGTATGTGACCTAGGAGATGTGAAAGGAAATTCAAGTACAAGTTTGGATGAGTCACAGCCCTCTTTTTCCCTGTTTTTGTGCCTGTTAGCGGTATGATTCTATATAAATAAATCACTTAAACCTTTTTAAAATTAATTTTTTTCGTTTGTATGTCTATCTGCCATATATGTATAGATGTGTTGAATCCTCTGGAGTTAGAGGCGGTTGTCAGCCACCTGACAGGGATACTGGGAACTGAACTCTGGTCTTATGGAAGAGCACTAAGTGCCCTTATCCACTGAGCCATCTCTCTAGCCCATCACTCAGCGTTTCTATGGCTCAGGTCTTTGTTTATTTTTAGCCATTTGAGACAGATTTTCTCTATGTAGCCCTGGCTGTCCTGGAACTTAATATGTAGACCAGACTGGCCTCGGAGAAGTAGACATCCACCAGACTGCATGCCAAGAGCTGGGATTAAAGGTGTATACCAACATACCTGTTTTTTTGGGGGGTAGGTTAGAGACAGGGTTACTGTGTGTATTCTTGGCTGTCCTGGAACTCACTGTGCACACCAGGCTGGCCTTGAACTGACAGCCGCCTGCCCCTGCCTCCTGAATGACGGGATTAAAGATGTGTGCCACTGCCGCCAGCCCCACACCTGGCTTTCTTTTGTCTATTTTTAAAGTTAGGAAGCATCTTTAAATTCAAATTGTAAAGAGCCAGGGCTGGAGTGTAGCTTAGTGATGCAAGGCATTTCCCTGGCATTTGAGATGGTGTCCACATATATGATCCCCATCACTTGCAAAAAGCAAAAGAAGATACATGTATAGTTGGCTATAACTGGTTAAAACTGCGTTCATTGCATCTCTGAGAGAAGTTAGCTTATATTTACAGGCTGTTTTACAGTTCTGGATGGAACCTCTTTTCCAGTGCACACTGGCAGGCACACTAACATTGTTCTACATCTTGGGGGCCTTGTTTAAAAATTTGACTGGAGCTGGAGAGATGGCACACTGGTTGTGAGCATTGGCTCTTGCCAGAGGACCTAGGTTTAGTTCCTCTGGAGCTGTTGTTAGAAGTGGTTCCTTGTTGCCTGACTGTAAGTCCTAGGGACTGAACTTAGGTCCTCTGGAAGAGCAGTACGTGAGGCTTCTTTCCAGCCCTTGTAACTTTTTTTTTTTTAAATTACACTTATTTGTGTGTGTGCATATTTCTACTATGGCACACATGTGGAAGTCAGTGGACTTGCCTTAAGTCAGTTCTCTTTCCACCATGTGGGATGGAACTCAGGTTGTCTGGCATGGTGGCAAGTGCCTTAATCTGTTGAGCCATCTTTCTTTCCAACCTTTCCCCGACACTCTCTTTGAATGACTGAGATGGAACCCAAAGTGTCATGTATGCTGATGACCAGTCCAGAGACCATGAGTTACACATTCTTTTTTTTTTTCTTTCTTATTTTCCTTTTTTCTTTTAATTTTTCGAGACAAGGTTTCTCTGTGTAACATCCCTGGCTGTCCTGGAACTCACTTTGTAGCCCAGGCTGGCCTTGAACTCATAGAGATCCGCCTGCCTCTGCCTCCCGAGTGCTGGGATTAAAGGTGTACGCTACCACCAATTGGCCGAGTTACACAGTCTAAAAACCAAAACTGTGATGAGATACTCAGGCAGAGAGACTTCTGTAAACAGTTTATGTTCTCCAGTCAGATTCAAAGTTGGGCAGGAGCTGAATGCTTTTAGTTGAAATCAAGTCAATATTGAGTGCATAGGGCCACTGTGAGAATTGCCTAGGAAAATACTATTTGGAAACCTCATGGCAGGGAATAAATGCTAAAAACGGAAAGGAGAGCTCAGTATAGTGGTGCTCAATTGTAGTTATCCAGGAGGCTGAGGTGGGTGGATGGTTTAAGATCAGCCTGGGCAATACAGGAAGACACCAAATCAAAATGGGAGGGGGAAGGGGGAAGCCAGGACACTTGTCCTGATTCAAATCTCTGTGGAGAAAGGAAAGAGACTGCTACTGAACCTGTAGTGGTCACACTATCGTTTGTGCCTACGGCAAGAAGACTGCAAGTTGGAGGCCTGCTTGGGCAACAGGTAGACCCTGCCTCAGGAAAAGAGATTTTAAATTTAATAAGTGGACCAGTGAAATGCAGGGTGGATCAAGGAGCATACACAAATGCCTGAAGACCAGAGTTCAGTCCCTAGGACCAGATAGAAACAACTGTGCAAGTTGTCACAGCCATTCAAACACAAACACATTTTTAAAATGTATTAAATGGTCTGTATTTCATATTCGCTCCACATGGCTTCTACTTGGAGTCAATGCCCATGTTTGATAAAACATTCCCCGCCCCCGCCCCCCCCCCAAAAAAGATGAAAAAGTTCATCCTCCCTGCAGCTTTCCAACTCTGAGGGACCAGCCCCCCACTAAGAATAAATGGTGTTTGGCGTCCTGAACGCACGGCACCTTGGGACTTGTAGTTTCAGGGATCACGGATGTGTATGAGTTGTGGCGGGGCGAGAAAGCTCTGCGCATGTGTAGTGCGTCTTGCCACACGTGTCTTTTAAGGAGGGTTTCTGTTTATATTGAGAGTTTTTAAGCTAGTTTATTTGGGAGCTTTCCTTTGATTCTCTCAACCGAGCCTAAAACCGAGTAAAAGAAACTCCAATTCTTGCTTTTCATGGAGTGAACGTTGCTGGGACTGATTATGCTAATGGGGACGTGTGCTAAGTTTCCCTTCAAGTTGAGGCATTCTTAGACCTGTCCCTCACCTGAAAGTCAATAAAATTTAGGACAGGGCTCGGCTGTCCTTTGGGATTAGAGTCCTAGTTGGTTTAGTAAATATTGGTTTAGGCAGGGCGTGAAGACAACGAACGGTCAGTTTTGTGCTGTGCTAAAAGCCAAATTTTCAAAGACTAATTTACGACCTGTCGGCTAAATTTAACTTGGATTATCTCTAATGGAGCAAATTGTAAAATATCCACTGAAATGGAGGCGAGTGGCAGGAGAGCGCGCCCCTTATCAGCGACAGGTCTAAGGGGAGGAAGACAGGAAGTTAGAGGAAAGCACCGGGGTCTCCAATTTAGACTACCATGCTTTGCGGTTGAAAAGGAAAAACAGTGCTCTACTGGATTCAGTTGGCAGAAGCATTCATGATCCTGCCCTTGCCTGAATTCTCTGGGCAAGGGCTCTTCATCTCACTTTTATCTTCAGGTAGGGGAAGGGATTAGGTCTCCTGTTCGAATTTACTAGATGATTTTATTTAAAAAGTTGTAGCCAGGGGTTGGAGAGTTGACTCAGCGGTTAAGAGCATTTGTTGCTCTTCCACAGGACCCGGGTTCAAGTGCCAGCGCAGCCCAACTGTCTGGTAGCACTAGCTCCAGGAGATCCAACTCTCTTTTGTCTTTCACCGCCACTAGACACACATGCAGGCAAAACATCCACATAAAATTTAAAAAGTTATAGCCTTATAGGTTTTTTTCAGTTCTATGTAAAAGCGTTACAGTATTGAACAATAACAAAGAGCAGAGAGTTGTTCGTGTCTCAGGGATAAAATCCACCCCAAGCGGCTTCTTGTCCTGCTCTTTATTCGCGTGTGGATCGGATGCTGTTTAGGGGAGCTGAAGAGAAACAGCCATTTTAATTTGTTTTTATTTATTTATTTTCTTTCTTTTTTTCAAGACGGGGTTTGTTTTTGATGAAAGGGTTTCGTGGTTGTAGCCCAGGCTTTCATGGTACCAGTGGGTATACTGTTGCCTTACTCCCTGTCTCCGCTCTCCCTCTCCCCAAGTTCTGAGGTTACAGTCTTCGGAGTCGCCACGCCGAGCTGAGAACCGTCTAATTCTTAGGGAGTGTAGTAAGGGCGAAGTTAGCTGTGGTTGAGGGATTCTTAGGCCCAATTTACACACCGGGAGCACCCATGCACTTGCAAATTTCTAGCTCCAGCAACAAGCTGCAGTCAGGAGGGCGGGAGGGATAGCCCAATGGTTAAGAGTACTGGCTACTCTCGCAGAAGACCCAGGTTTGATTTCAACATCCATATGGCGGCTCACAACCATCTGTAACCACAGTTCCAGGAGGGTCCAATGCCCTCTTCTGGTTTCCACGGCACTACACACATATGGTTCAGGTAAAATACCGCTACACATTTAAAAAGAAAAGAAGAAGAAAGCCGCAGTAAGAAAAAGAAAACGAGATGCTGGGAGGACCTAACGGCTAGAGAGGCCTAGAGGCAGCACTTATTCCGTCACGTGACCTACCATGGCCGGGGTCGCGCTGCCAGGTCACGTGTGACTGCTGCGCCCTCCGATTGGCTTGGCTAGACCAGTTTGAACGGCCTACGGAAGCCGAAGCTATTCATTTCGGCCGCGTTTATTTTTTTATTCCCAGGCTTTGGCTCCCTCCTTCCGCGCGAGCCTCTGGAGAAGCTGCAGCACTTAGGCGCCGTCGCTGCCTCCTGGGGCCTGGTAGGTGGGCCTCGCTTGGCCGGGGTCCCTTGGCTTCAGCTCTCCTCGAACCTCCCTGGGTTCTGGGCCTGCGCCGCGCGCCGCCCAGGCGTCGGGGTCGCGCCCGGCTGAGAGGCGGGGAACCGGGTTGGGCCAGCTCGCGTGGCCGGCAGAACGGGCCGGGCGGGGGAGGGGGAGCTGAGCCGATCTCAGGGGGTGGGGCCTCGGCGCCCGGGCAGGTTTGGGTGCCACGAGATGCGGGCCAGTGGGGCGGCTGGGGTCGGGCTGGAGGGGCCCTGATTGGGGGAAATCGTCGGGGGACGTCGCGAGGATCGGGTGTGTGTGGATCTGTTTCAGCGGGGTTTGGTTGGGTCTGATTGGGAGAGAGCCTTGAAAGTTGGGCGGGGGGAGATTGTTAGGTCCTGATAGGGAGGGGCGTCAGACTTAAGCCCAGAGGGCTTTCCTGGGTCTGACTGTGAGGCGATGATGGGATCCGTTGAGGGTAACGCTCTGGGTGAGTGTTTGTGCGGGACTCTTGAGGGGAAGCTGCAGGGATTGGACGGATGGGGGTCTCCGACCCCAAGTGGTCGGGGCCTAAAGGGAACTTGATTAGGGGGGCTGCCAGAGATCCGTCATCAGGAATTACTGCTGACTTGGGCGGAGGGTGAGAGCGAGAGAGGCTTGGCCAGACCTGGTTGGGGTTGGCAGCGGGCACAGGTTCTGGGGGCTTTGGTCGCGGATTGAGTGGTTTTGACTGGCTCTCGTTCAAAGAGACATTGGAGAGCGGTCGGGCATTGCTTGTATTCTGGTTAAGGGGAGTCACTGGACCGCGTCCAGACCAGAAAGGGGGGCATATGCGTCTGCTGAGCTTGTAAGGCAGGTTTAGAGGAGGTAGCAGGGATGAGAAGGATCTAGGCGCTTAGGGACTTAGAGGAACTCAGGAACCTAGGAGGCGGCAAAGATCTAGCGGAGCTTGAAGGCTGGATTTTGGGGGAAGGAATCCTCGTGGACTGAGCCTTCACCTGGAAGACCGCTGGGGCGGGGCCCTCGTCCTCGAGGGAGGCGGAAGCCGTAGGGCCCGTAACCGGGGGCGGCGGCGGCGGCGGCATGGACCGCCCTAGGAAGAGGGTTCCACGTTAGGCTCGCTGTGGATCCGTCGCGCCCCCGCCACCGGTCCTGATGGCCCGCTTTTATATTCCCCCCACTCTCACCCCCGAGCCCGCGACTGCGTGGCCGAGGATGGCTTAGCTGGCGGGGACCCTGCACTTGGACAGGGACAGGCGCGGATCCGAGGCCTCCGCTTCTCCGCGGAGAGCGCTTGCATCTGCGTGCATCCGCCTCTGCCTTGGGGACTCAACTTGGGTCTCACACAGAACCCCGGCGACCCAGCGCTGACCCAGGCTCCTACCCCTGCAGTTCGCCTTGCGCCATGGACTGGCAGCCAGACGAGCAGGGCCTGCAGCAGGTCTTGCAGCTTCTCAAAGACTCGCAGTCGCCCAACACAGCTACTCAGCGCATTGTGCAGGATGTATCCTTCTTTCCTTCCGGGGCTGCTGGAACAGGGCTGATGTCTGAACCTCCTGAAGACTAGAGAGGGAGGGACTACTTCTTGATCCCCAGACTCTGCTGCAAGAGAGAACATGACATGAGCGGAGAATTAAAGGCTTATGTCCCTGGGTTCCATTTCCAGAGGTGTAGAAAATGATGGGAATGCCTGATGTTCACTGAGCACTTAATCCTGTAACTGTTAAAGTGAATGCTGTTAACTCTCTTTACAGAGAGGACCTGGAGGCTTAGAAAGGGAAAATGCTTTGGCAAAGCCTCAGCTAGGAACCAGGGTGAGAAGCCCAGCCATCTCAGATTTTAGTCCAGTCTGCCTTGTCAGAATGAGGGTAGATGGGGAGGGATGCTGAAGTTGCACCATGTGTGTTTGTGGTTGAAAACTTTTTTTTTTCCTAGTTGCTTGTGTAAATATATAAGTATCCTGGTTAGTTTTGTTGTCAGTTTGATATACTACCTATGAAGAGGGACCTTCCTTGAAGACTTGCCTCCTTCAGAATGGCCTGTGGGAATGGATGTGGGGCAGTTTCTTGATTGATAATTGATGTGGGCAGGCCTGCCGGTCCAGCCCTGTCCATCCCATTGTGGATGTTATCTCAGGGTGGGTGGCCCTGGGCTGTATAAGAAAGGTAGCTGAATGTGAGTCTTGGAAGGAGCCAGTAACCAGCATTGCACAGTGGTTTCTGCTTTGGAACTTCTCTCCATGATGAGCTAAAACTAACCCTTTACTTCCTGCCTTGGTCTTGGTCAGTGTTTTATCACAGCCAACAGAGAAGCAAATTAGAATAATGAGTTCAGATTTTTAAATGAAATGGCCACGATGGCATAAACCTTTAATCACAACATTTGAGAGGCAGAGGCAAGTGAATCTCAGAGTTTGAGGGCAGCCTGGTCTTCTGTAGACCCTGTCTCACTTGAAAATAGGGCAAGTCCCCACCTTTTCCTGCAGAGCTGACGATGGAACATAAGGGCCTGGAGCATGCTGGCCACTTGCTTTATCATTGAGCTGCATCCCAGTCCTACTCCCTGGGTCTCAGCCATTCACTCTCTCTGCCTCAGAGCCGGAGACTGTGTGGTCTTACACATGCTAGGCATGTGTTTTACCCCTGAGCTGTATCCCTGGACTGCTTTTTTGAGTCAGCGTCTCTCTGACAGAATAAAAACTGAATATGTAGCTCAGGTTGGCCTTGAACTCGGGGTGATCTTCCTTTCTCGGCCTCCCTGGTGCTAGGATTATAGGCACGCCCCACACCCAGGTAGCCTTGCACTCTGACTGAGAAAAGCAGGCATTATTGGAGTGCCGAAGTCAGGGATGAGTAGCAGCTGACAGTCTTGTCCAACCCATTCCTGCTCTGCAAGGACATAAAGGTGATGCAGGAAGCTCAGACATGTGCCCTAGTCCATGTGTGAACCTGGTCCTCCTGAAAAGGTCCTTTGGTGCTGTAGGGATAGTGACTGATCAGTGACATCCCAGGAGCTGGCTGCCTAAATGCTTTGGTCACTCACATTTTGAGCAATGTGGCAGTGAGAGAATATTGCCTAGGAAAGGTTACTGTCTCTCAAGTTCTTTTTTTCTTTTTTCTTTTTTTTTTTTCTTGAGCCAAGATCTTGCCTCTCAGCTTCCCTAGTTCTGGGATCACAGGGGTGCCCCAATACACCTGCCTTTCCAAGTCCCTTAACAGCTTGGCAGAAACTTAAACAACTGAACCAGTTTCCTGACTTCAACAACTATCTGATCTTCGTCCTGACCAGACTCAAGTCAGAAGGTATGTTCTCTGTCCCTCTCGCTGTGCAGATCTTGCTTTTCTACTCACTGCCACAGTCCTCTGACCTTAGCACTTTTCCTACAGATGAGCCAACCCGCTCTCTCAGTGGCCTCATCCTCAAGAATAATGTGAAGGCACATTACCAGAGCTTCCCGCCTCCTGTGGCTGACTTCATCAAACAGGAGTGTCTCAACAACATTGGCGATGCCTCCTCTCTCATCCGAGCCACCATTGGTGAGGGGGCTGTGGGGGTCGTCAGCAAGGACACACTAAGAGCTTGCTCTGGGCCAAGAAGCTATTCAACGTGTTCAGGGTATTGCTTACTGAATGCTCCAGTACCCTCTGTGATGATAGCACTGTTAACTACTGCCATCTGACTGGAGAGGAAACTGAGGCACAGATGATAAAGGGACTTGCCTGGCAAGTAACAGCTTGGAAACAAGCCAGGCAGTGCAGGTCAGTCTTTTTTTCCCCCCCTTTTTTCTTTTTGAGACAAGGTAGTCCAAGCTGGCCTCAAACTTTCCAACCTTCTGCTTCAGCCTCCTGAGTGCCTCAGTAACTCAGTGTCCACGATTTTGTGACATAGTCTCAAACTCTGTGACTGAGGTTCAGCAGTTGTAATACTTGCTTCCTCTGTCCACATGGAGTCATTAGGAGTACCCCTCAAATGATTTCTATTCAGTGAGAATTAGTTAATGGAGGCTCCTTGCTGTGAGTCCAGGAGGAAACACCTGAGGGAATGACAGCAGGAGCACTAAGATTTACTCAGGCCATTCTCCCTGAAGCCCTGATTACTATTACAAAGATTAATAGGTGATTTCCTAGCAATGCTTTAACATTTTTAGTTATTTTCTGTGAGGGAGAGCACACACTACTATACCTGAGTCTGGAGGGCAGAGAAAAACATTGAAGGCGAGTCAGTTCTCGCCTTCCACATTATTGAGATGGGTCTCTTGTTTTTGCTACACAGTGTATTCCAGGCTTATTGGCAAGATAGCTTCCTGTCCTCCTTCCATCTCCTCCCATCTCAGAGTAGAAGTGATGGGATTGCAGATGTGCACCACTGCATCCAGGTCACGTGGGCTCTGATTACAGGTGCACACCACTGCATCCAGGTCATGTGGGTTCTGGGGAGCAAGTCTGGGTCATCTGGCCTGGACAGTGGGTGTTTTTACCTGCTGAGTCGTTTTCCCAGCTTTCTTTCTTTCTTTCTTTCTTTTCTTCCTTCCTTCCTTCCTTTCTTTTCTTCCTTTCTTCCTTTCTTTTCTTTCTTTCTTTCTTTCTTTCTTTCTTTCTTTCTTTCTTCTCTCTTTCTCTATCTCTATCTCGCCATTATTTTCTTGAAATCTGTCAACTAAATTGGTTTATTTTTACTTTTTGTGTGCTGTGCCTAGAAACTAGAGGACAACTTTGGAGGTTGTTTTTCTCTATTATGTGGGCTTACGCCATCAGGGGTGGCTGCAAGTAAGTGCCTTCAACCACTAAAGTAGCTTTCTGGCCCTTCTATAGAGTATTTTAAGGAAAAGACAGCTATTTATTTATACCCCAGGAAGGGAAGCCTTAAAAAATAAAGGCTGGGTGTGGTAGCACATGCCTGTAATATCAGCATTCATTGGGAGTTAGAGGCCAGCCTGGTCTAAATAGTTCTAGGCCAGCCGTAGGTGAGATCCTGTCTCAAAAAAAAAAAGTAAATAAAATGACTAGGTATGATGGCCCATGCCTTTAATTTCAACACTTTGGAGGTAGTAGCAGATGGGTCTCTGAGTTCAAGGCAAGCCTGATCTTCATAGTGAATTCCAGATCTACAAACTCTATACATGTCCAGATTTTGTTTCTTGTCATTTTTGCCTTAGCAGTATAGTTTTCTGTAGGGTAGCGTGGGGTGTATAGTGCCACTAATCCTGTGTGGAGGTCTGAGGACAACTTTGGAGAATTGTTCTCTCCTACCATGTGGGTCCCAGGAATATCCAAGTCAGGTTGTCGGGCTTGGTGGCAAGCACCTTCATGCACAGCTAGCTCGCTGGCCCACAGTGTACTTTTATAACTGTATTATTGACATTGTTACAGGAATTTTGAGTCACATAGAGGTGATTTAAAGTCTGTGAGAGGTTGGGGACATAACTCAGTTGATGTAGTGTTCCCGTTATCTACAGGAGGATGTGCATAGGTTCTGTGCAAGTACTGTGCCACTTCCTGTAACACACTTGATTTTGGCATCTCTGAGGATATCTGTACTTGAAGAAACTTTGGAAGAGCTTTAGGGCTCTGGTACTTTTTTTTGAAACAGGGTTTTGCTGCTCAGCCTAGGGTTTCAAACTTGGAATCTTCTGCCTCAGCCTTCTAGGGGCTAGCATTACAGATCTCTACTATAGTGCCTGACCAAGGCCTTCCATTGAAGGCTGAGATCCATGTGGTACAAGAGAGGCTGTGGTGTGGCCAACACCGTGAATGGGGGCTGTCCCATTATGGGATGGCAGAGAGACTTCAATTTTAGGGAATTTGGGGAAAAAAAGGGGGGAGGGGCTGGAGAGAAGGCTCAGAGGTTAAGAGCACTGACTGCTCTTCCAGAGGTCCTGAGTTCAATTCCCAGCAACCACATGGTGGCTCACAACCATCTATAATGAGATCTGGTGCCCTCTTCTGGCCTGCAGGCATATATGCAGACAGAACACTGTATACATAATAAATAAATAAATCTTTAAAAAAAAATTTAGGATTGGCATCATTTGAGAGTGGGCAGTGGCAGCTTCTGCCTTTGTGAAACACTGCCATCTTGTGTTGATGAATGGTGTGTGCATTGGCCACCATATCCAACCCTGCTTGGCAGCTCCGTTGCCCTCAGGCCTCAGATGAAGCCTTTTGCTTAATACCTGTGGATTTCATTATTCTAAGTCAGTTTATTGTAATGTGAACATTAGTTAATATCAGTATATTTGTTTCCTTAGACAAGCGTTCTGTTGCTCTATGTGTGTGTGTGTGTGTGTGCATGCTCATGAGCACGTGGACAGGTGTGCACACCTGTCCACATAGACGGGCCAGAGGAGGGCATCAGCTATTCTGTTCTTTTACTCAAAAGCATCTGGAGCTATGCTGGTAGCCAGCAAGCCCCAGAGACCCTCCTGTTTCGACTGATTACTTCTGGGATAACAAGTTCGTGCTGCCACACCTGGCTTTTTACCTGGGGGCCGGGAACTGAACTCAGGTCCTTCATACTTGCCCAGCAAGCACTTTTACCCACTGAGCCCTCTCCCCAGTCCCCATCCATGGATTTCTACTAGTCGGTAAGGCTGTCTCTTGAGATAAAAGAGCTTTCATGATGTGACTACTTGGCCCCACTTCCTGCCCACAACCTCTCTCCCCCCATTCTGGCCTTTGTCCTGTTACTACACCAGGCTTGCCGTACTCTAGCCAAGACACTTTTGCCCCAGGTGACTGAAGGCCGCCTCCTCTTCATCTGTTTTAACTTCCCTCAGGTCCTTGCACACACGTCCCCATTTTAAAATTACTCCTCTCTAGCTGGGCACAGGCCTATAACCAGTTACTCAAGCGTGGAGGCAAGAGGACCTGCAGTTTTAGGTCTTGCCTTGGCAACTTGTGACCTTAACTCAGAAGGTTAAAATAAAAAAGCTGGGTTGGGTATTTAGCTCAACAGCAAAAATGCTTGCCCTGGGTTCAATCCTCGGAAGTATGAAATAAAAATAATTGAAAGACAATGTACTCTCAGCCCTTGGCTTGTGGCCACCCAGATCTTTGGCTTGGGCAGCTTCACCTTCCACCTTCCTCCAGTTCCAAGAGTGGTGGTTTGGGGTGGGTCACAGTGAGCTCCAAGCATGTGTGCCGAGTCCCCTCGCACTGCCGAAGAGGGTCTGTCGCTCCACAGTAGGGTGCTTACTCGGCATTCATGTGGCTTGCGTTTCATCTCCAGCACCCCAAAGGGAGAGGAGGGAGCCAGTGAGCCTGTTCCTTGGTGGGGGGTTGGAGGGAGCACTAGGCCCTTGCCCAGCCTGAGCAGCCTCCTTTCCCTGGCTGCCCCAGGCATTCTCATCACCACCATCGCTTCCAAGGGTGAGCTGCAGATGTGGCCTGAGCTGCTGCCCCAGCTGTGCAACCTGCTGAACTCGGAGGACTATAACACCTGTGAGGTGGGTGACAGCAGGCCGTGGCCTGGCCCACGCAGGGCTGGATTTTGGAGTAGGACTCAATAGCTCTCTCTGCCTCTGCTCAGGGAGCCTTTGGAGCCCTGCAGAAGATCTGTGAAGACTCTTCTGAGCTTTTGGATAGTGATGCTCTCAACAGGCCCCTGAACATCATGATCCCTAAGTTCCTGCAGTTTTTCAAGCACTGCAGCCCCAAGATCCGGTATGTGAAGTTCCCCGGGCACAGGGGTCTTAGAGCTGGTAGGCATGCGCAGTTCAGAAGTGATCCGTGCCTTCACTGACTACCAGGTCCCATGCCATTGCCTGTGTGAACCAGTTCATCATGGACCGGGCCCAGGCACTGATGGACAACATCGATACCTTTATTGAGGTGGGTCACTGGGCTTGGGTGCATAGGGAGAGCCGAGGGCCCTCAGGCAGCTGACCTTGAGCTTTCTCACAGCACCTGTTTGCCTTGGCTGTGGATGATGACCCTGAGGTGAGGAAGAACGTGTGCCGTGCTCTAGTGATGCTTTTGGAAGTGCGAATTGATAGACTCATCCCTCACATGCACAGCATCATCCAGGTGTGCATGGCCAGCACTAAGGGCAGATAGATGGGTGGCAGGAGGGGGTTGGGGGACCCCTCTTAGTTGGGCTGGGTCTCAGCCTCTCCCCGTTGCCCCAGTACATGCTGCAGAGGACCCAGGATCATGACGAGAATGTGGCCCTGGAGGCCTGTGAGTTCTGGCTGACGCTGGCTGAGCAGCCCATCTGCAAGGAAGTCCTGGCCTCCCATCTGGTCCAGTGAGTGCTCTAGCCCCATGCCAACAGACTCTACCCCTGACTGCATTTGCTTACCATAGCTCATGTAGTATATTTCGGTTTATTTTGAATCCTGTGTACGTTGATTTTTATGGGATTGTAACTTTTAATGGCTTCAAACATTAGGTGACAGAAACAAAGTGTGGTGCCTCATACCCATCACTTGGGAGGCTCAGATGGGGGATTGCCACAGAGTTTTGAGGCTGGACTGGGCTACATAGTGAGTTCTAGGCCAGTCCGGGTTATATAACAAAAACCAAATAAACCAAAACCAAAACAAAGCTACTAACGAGGCAGAAAGATGAGAAAACAATCTTTCAGCAAATCAAGGCCTCAGCCTGGCCATGCCCAGGTGCCCAGGACAGGAAAGGTGTCCACTTCCTCTGTCCTGACTTTCCCTTCAGGCATGACCTTCCTTGTTGTTTTTGTTTTTGGAGGCAGGGTTCTCTGTGTTAACAGCCCTGGTTGTCCTGGAACTCGCTCTGTAGACCAGGCTGGCCTTGAACTCAAAAGATCCACCTGCCTCTGTGCTGGGATTAAAGGCGTGCACCACTACCACCTGGCAGGCTCTGGCATTCTTCAGTTTAGGAGTTCAGATGCTTGAGTGATACTTTAATTAGAAAAACAGAGGAACCTTTTCGGGTTTTCGAGACAAATGGGCCTGGGACTCGGGTTCTCACTCCCTCAGACTCTTAAGTGCTGGTGTTAGGGCTGTGTGGAGCCCTTTTCTTTGATCTGTCTGGATGACTGGCCTATCTCCAGTTATTGATAACAAGTAGGAGGTGTGGCTGGAGGGACAGAGAATTTTGAGGAGGATTGAGACACCCTTGTTGAGGGGCAGGATGGTTAAGTCAGTTTTGTGACGAAGGTTATAGTACTCCGGTGTGTATCTGCTTTTCCTGCTCGTTTCCTGCCTCGGGCCCAGCAGCTTCATCTCAGCAATGCCTGGATGTTGGGTCAGATGTTTGTGCTTTGTGTAATGCTGTGGTACAGCATTTTCTAGGGTTCTGGCATTTATTGGGTTTGGTCAAGAACTATGTGGTGGTATTTAACACTAAAAGTGATAGTTGGAACAGCTGGATGTGGCTGTAAACACTTGTAGTCACAGTGTTTGGAGGTTGAGGCAAAAAGTTCATGATGTCCTTTTTTTTAAATGTGCATCTGTGTATACAGTGCCCACAAGGCCAGAATATTTGATTCCTGGGGCTGGAGTTAGAACAACTGATGATCTTAACTACTGAGCTATCTCTCTCTAGTCCCAGTGGCTACATAGATCCTATTTGAAAAGGAGTGGGGGGGTGGGCGGTGGTGGCGCACGCCTTTAATCCCAGCACTCGGGAGGCAGAGCCAGGCGGATCTCTGTGAGTTCGAGGCCAGCCTGGGCTACCAAGTGAGTTCCAGGACAGGCGCAAAGCTACACAGAGAAACCCTGTCTCGAAAAACCGAAAAAAAAAGAAAAGGAGTGGGGGGAAAGATTATGTCTCTTAATCATAGTGGCTGGAAATTACGTTGTTAGTTCCCTGAAAGGGATGAGCAGATACAGGACACAGGAAGATGGGTATGTTGAGCAGAGTCTGTCCCTTACTCAGCACTCCTGCCCACGCCTGCTTCCTCTTCAGGATGGGCACCTCAGCTAGAGTCCCAACAGTCTCTCTCCCCACAGGTTGATCCCGATCCTCGTGAATGGAATGAAGTACTCTGAAATTGACATTATCCTGCTTAAGGTCAGCTGGGGTATCCACAGTTGGCTATGGGTGGCCAAGACCATGGGTGTTGGGTTGGAGTCTCCAGGCAGTGCTGAGAAGTCTTCCTGGACTGGTCCCTAGGGGGACGTGGAGGAGGACGAGGCAGTACCTGACAGCGAGCAGGACATCAAGCCACGCTTCCACAAGTCACGCACAGTGACACTGCCCCACGAGGCTGAGCGGCCTGATGGCTCTGAGGATGCAGAGGATGATGATGATGACGATGCTTTGTCCGACTGGAATCTGAGTAGGTTGTAGGCCACCTCTGCAGGGAGAGGGTGAGAAGCTGGTGCCGAGCAGTTTGTGAAGAATTGGTGACATTTAGTCCTATGGCTGAATACCTGCCCCACAGGCCTCTCTGAGCCTGAGTCCCATTGTCCCCCTTCAGGGAAGTGCTCAGCAGCTGCGCTGGATGTCCTTGCTAACGTCTTCCGGGAGGAGCTGCTGCCCCATCTACTTCCCCTGCTCAAGGGCCTCCTGTTCCACCCCGAGTGGGTGGTCAAGGAGTCAGGGATCCTGGTGCTGGGTGCCATTGCCGAGGGTGAGTCTGCAACATTTGATGAGCGTCTACCTGGGCTGACCTGGGCAGTGCCAGTGATGAATGCAGCACCACAACACAGGCCAGGGCTCCTCACCCTTGACTTTCTCAAAGTTTATCTAATTATTCATTGGTTTTCAGCACAATGTTTCTCTGAGTGTGGACCTATCTGGCCCTCCAACTCCCAGAGATCCGCCTGCTTCTGACTCTCCTGGGATTAAAGGCGTGTGCCACTACTGCCTGGTTTCCTCATTCTTTCCAAAGAGCTCTGTTATCTGTCTTCCCCTTGGCCTGAAAGACACACCCTGATCCCACCCACCACCTCTGCCCCTTGCCAGGAAATTCTCAACACACCAGCCCTCTTCCTGGTTCTCACAAGCAGGTGATTCTGTGATGGTTCAAGCATAGGACAGCAGGTGTAGTGCCCACTTCAGGTCCTTCCTCAGTACCCATCCCACTGGGGTACCCCTTGTCCTTGGGGAATTCCATCCACATATCCAGGGCCAAGCCCAGGCTTCAGACATGGGCAAACTGAGCTCCACAGGCTGACACCACTTCCCTCATGCCCTGGTGTACATTCTTGCTGTTCGGCTGCCCACCAGAATTAAGAAGTGTCTAGTTTTGGAGTTCCTTTAAATTTGACATGGTGTAAAGAGCACAGTGGTGTGTACACCTGGAGTTACAGAACTGAGGAGGGCTACTGCAAGTGGGAGGCCATGCAGTCTACATAGGGAGTTCAGGTGAGCTAGGGAGACCTCCGAAACAACCCACAGTGTGGCTGGAAGTTGGCGTAGCTTTCGGGCTTTTCCTCCACAAGACATAGGGTATGAACTGTGGCCACGTGTGACCATCTCACCACCCAGAATTGTCACCTAAACTCTGTAAGAGCTTTCAATCTGGAGAGCTTTTTATACCTGTGAGTGAGGCCTGGGGTTTGGAGTAGGATAGTCTATCAGTACAACACTAGTATGGATTTCAGAAGGCTCGAGGTTCCATCCAGAAATGGTTTCATGACCTCTACTTCCTAGGTGACTGTGACATCTCAGATACTATGCAACATATGTGCATGGTTATTTTTTGTGTTTTGAGATAGCGTCTTGTTATGCTGTGATATCCTGTCTCAGACTTCCTAATGCCAGGATTACAGGTGTATATAACCACACCTGACTGAAGCACAATCTCTTATACATGCCACGCAAGTCTTGAACATATGGCCATCCTGCCTAAACTTCCAGAGTACAGGGAGTATCACCTTACCACCTGTGTGTGTATGTTGAGACAGTCCTGTTAGGTGTACTGTGATCTGTAGTCCCGTGAGGGAGCTAGAAAGTTGATCCCAAGGTGATAAAAGAGGTGTGTCTAAAGGCCTTTAATCCCAGTTCTTAGAGATAGGCAGATCTCTGAGCTCAAGAACAGCTGGTCTACACATCAAGTTCCAGAAAGGTCAGGGCAAAAGAAGAGGGGGCGGGGTGGGCGCCTAATGTGTGTGAGGCCTAAGGTTTTTTTTTTTTTTTTTTTGTGGGTTTTTTTTTTTTTTTTTTTTAGAGAGTGTTTCTCTTTGTAGCCCTGGCTCTCCTGGAACTCGATCTGTAGACCAGGCTGGCCTTGAGCTCACAGAGATCCACCTGCCTCTGCCTCCCAAGTGCTGGGATTAAAGGCATTGTTTTGCAAAACAAACAAAACCTCTGTAAATAATTAACTACACAATAATGATAAAGATAAAAAATGAGGGTTCAGTGGTTAAGAGTGCTTGATACTCTTCCAAATGATCTGAGTTTCATTCCTAGCACCCACCTAGCCCCTCACAATTTTCTGTAACTCCAGTTGCTGGAGTTACACTCTTATGACCTCCATGGGTTCCTGCACATCAACACACTCCTTACACAAAAATAGTAAGCGAGAGGGGAGGGAGTAAGAAAAACACAAATACCTCGGGTTTCAAGTTAAGAAGCATTTCCTATCCATCTAAATAATCCTGCACATTTTGATTAGTCCTGTGTTATTTTGAAGGTTGTGTGTGTGGGTGCTTTTTCTGTGATATGCTAGCCTTGAACTGTGGCATGCCTCCTGCCTTGTTCTAAGTGGTGGCATTATAGGTTTGAGCTACCGCCCAGCCAAAAATTGAACCACCTCCAGCTCCATTGTATCTGCTGTGTCTCCTCTTGCTCCTGTCTTTCATGGGCTCTTTAATGCCTCCAAGCCTCAGTTTTTCCACCTATCATGTTGGGTTGGATATGCCTAAGCCCCGCCTTCTCTCTAAGCCCTCCTGTCTCTGGGTTACTGCAGGCTGCATGCAGGGAATGGTGCCCTATCTACCTGAGCTGATCCCACACCTCATCCAGTGCCTGTCAGACAAGAAGGCCCTGGTCCGCTCCATTGCCTGCTGGACGCTGAGCCGCTATGCCCACTGGGTAGTCAGCCAACCACCTGACATGCACCTCAAGCCTCTGATGACAGAGCTGCTCAAGCGTATCCTGGATGGCAACAAGAGGGTGCAGGAGGCAGCCTGCAGGTGAGTCTTGACCCCTGACCCCTGTCCCTTACAGTGGCCCCTCACCCTGGGAAGTGATGACGCCTGTGACTGCTGACAAGACACTGATTTCTGTCGTATTCGTACTGGCTGATCCCATGTCCATCCTCTCCAGCTGCCTGGGTCAGCTCCATCTGCTGGAGTCATTAAGCTTTCCTTTCTGTCTTCATTCACCAGTGCCTTTGCTACCTTGGAGGAGGAGGCATGCACAGAGCTGGTCCCCTACCTCAGCTATATCCTTGACACTCTCGTTTTTGCCTTTGGCAAATACCAGCACAAGAACCTGCTCATCCTCTATGATGCCATTGGCACCCTGGCCGACTCTGTGGGCCACCACCTTAATCAGCCGGTGAGACTCTAGAGACCCTCTGCCCTATCCTTGGGTCCCTCGGCATCTGGTTTTTGCCCTGTGTCACATGCCAGGACATGACCACAACCTTGACAGGCAGGCTGAAGCACTTTAATTAGCTTTGCCCTTACTCTGCCTCTAGTCTAGTGTGAAAGATGGTCAGTGCTGTGCTCTGGGAGTGCAAGGGCCTGTGGGAAGCAGGAGGCCCTACTCAGGTTTCTGGGAGTGGGAGGAAGGGAAGGAAGTACTAGGGACAGACAGATGAGAAGCATCAGAAGGGCTTAGAGATCTTGAAGTATGGTCAGGAGCTTGGATGCCTTCCTTTATGGGACAGCATTGACTGAGGCAGGCTGCCACACCTATCTAGGAAGCCCAACCTCCCACTCCCTTTCCAGGAATACATTCAGAAGCTGATGCCTCCACTGATCCAGAAGTGGAATGAGCTCAAGGATGAAGACAAGGACCTCTTCCCCCTGCTGGAGGTGAGTGGTCTTAGGTCCTCCCTCAGAGTCCTTCCACCTGGCCAGGACTCACCCTTTGCCTTTCCTCTGCCAGTGTCTGTCATCTGTGGCCACTGCCCTGCAGAGTGGCTTCCTGCCCTACTGTGAGCCTGTCTACCAGCGCTGTGTTACCCTGGTGCAGAAGACACTGGCCCAGGCCATGGTGAGCACCTTGGGCCCCCTGCACACTTGCTCTGCTGCCCAGGCCATAGCCTACCCATCTCACCTGCCCCCTGTGTATCCAGATGTACACACAACACCCTGAACAATACGAGGCCCCTGACAAGGACTTCATGATCGTTGCACTGGACCTACTTAGTGGCTTGGCTGAGGGCCTGGGTGGCCATGTGGAACAGCTGGTAGCCCGAAGTAACATCATGACATTGCTCTTCCAGTGTATGCAGGTGAGTGCACACACCAAGTCAGGCCACACCTAAGCAGGCCAAGGAGACTTTTTCTAGGCCATAACGGTTTACATAGCAGCTGCTACAGTTGACCCTGGGGCTAGTCAGGACCCTGATTATACCGAGGGAATGTCAAAGAAAAGGACCTGGGTTTGGTTCCTAGCACCCACATGGTAAATCACAACCATCCATAACTCCAGCTCCAGGAGATTGCATGCCCTCTTCTAGTCTGTGTGGACACTAAGCACACACATGGTGCACAGATGTACATGCAGGCAAAACTAATCATACACTTAAGACGAAAATAAATACATGTTTTTGTTTTTTTAAGACTGGTCATTACATGACGATTACATGACTTTAAATTCAGCACTCAGGAATCAGAGCCTTGTGGGTCTCTGAATTTTAGGCCAGTCAGGGCTAAATAGTGAAACCTTGTCTCCAAAATCAAATAATCATTCTGTGCTGTTGAGATAGCTCAACAGGTAGGGATGCCTACCACCAAGTCTGTGACAACCTGGCCAGAGAACCCCAGGACCCACATGAATGAAAGAGTGAGCCAATTCCTACAAGTTCACCTCTGACTTCCATATGTCTGTCATGGCACTTGTACCTACTCACACATACACACAAAGGTTGAATAAATACAAATTCTAAGGGTGAGAACATACCTTGTAAACATGATGAGCTCCACAAACTGGTTTTTGTGTTTTGTTTTGTTTTTTAAACAGTTGTATCTAGTGGCACATGCTTGTAATCCCAGCTGTGGGGAGACAGAGGCAGATTCCTGGGGCTTGCTGCTTAGCCACTGTATTCCAATTAGAGAGCTCCAGGCCAATGAAAGACCCTGTCTCAAAAGACAAAGTGGAAAACTGGGATAGTCAGTGGGAGAGCGTTTGCCTACATGCTGTAAGGCTCTAGCAACCTCCACCACTAAAATAATGACACCTGGTTTTTGCCTGTCCTCCCATGCACGGGTATCCACTCATACTCTGTTTACACATAAATATAATTCTTGTCAGGAAATGTAGTACAGGTTGATCTCAAAAATAAAGTTTGGGCACACGCCTTCAATCCCAGCACTGAGGTCCAGGCTGAGCAGAGCTGTGTAGTGAGGCGGCTTCATCAGTAAAGTGCCTGTTAGACAAGAACAGGAGCCTCGATTGATCTCCGTTGCCAGGGGGGCAGGGGCTGATGTGGTGCTGCTCTTCCAGAGAGCCCAGGTTTGGTTCCAGCACTACATCAGGTAGCTGACAGTGACAACTGCCTGTCCCTCCAGCTCTGGGGGAATCTGACTCCTTCCAGGGACACCTGTACAACTCTTCCCCAGAATATACACATAATTAAAGATAAAAATAACGGGTGCAGTTACCCAGAGGTCCCTGTGATTCCGGCACTGGGAAAATAGAGACAGGATCCCTGGGGTTCTCTGGCCAGGTTGTCTAGCTGAGTTTTAGTGAGCTTAGGTTTAGAAAGAAATTATGCCTTGAAAATAAAGTTGGGTGGCAAGTGAGGACGATGACCCCATGCGCATGTACACTCGCGCCACAGACAGAAGCTAGCCTGGTTTGTGCAGTAGACCCTGTCAAAGAAAACTTAGGAGTGTTATATTAAATATACAACTGTTACTTTGTGGTTTGGGGGCTGAGGATGGAACAGGGTTCTGGAGCTTTGTAAGTAAGGTCCTGACGACAGGCTATGGGAGAGTGGGAGGCGGCTAACAGTAAGGGACAGCCCTGCACCTCAGCCTGTGCTTGTGGTCGGGATGTGCTCTAGGGACTGTGCCGCCTCAGCTGGCTTGGATGGAAGGAGTGGGAGCCCTCTCATTTTGCCACCTCTCTCAACTCCAGGATTCCATGCCTGAGGTCCGGCAGAGCTCCTTTGCCCTTCTGGGAGACCTTACCAAAGCCTGCTTTATCCACGTCAAGCCCTGTATCGGTAGGCTACCCACTTTGCCCTATCCTATGGCTCCCGTACTGACTGGCTTCCAGTGATGGAGGCATGCCCTGGGAGGCCCATGACTGGACTGGGATGTATTTGTACTGTCTGATGGGCTGCCCAGCCAGTTCTGGGAGCGTGGCCTCAATGGTCTTTCTGCTCAGTCTTTTTCTGCTCTTCTTCTCTTTCCATTAGCTGAGTTCATGCCTATCCTGGGCACCAACCTGAACCCAGAGTTCATCTCCGTCTGTAACAATGCCACCTGGGCCATTGGGGAGATCTGCATGCAGATGGGTGAGTGCCCTGAAAGTGGCAGACTACCTTTTCATTGGTCTGTTTCTATCCTGGGGCCAGAGCTTGATTCTCAAAGGACCCTAAGGGAGTGCCTCTGATTGGCCAGGGACGAGAACATGCTTTGATTTCCCTGACAGGTGAAATCAAATAATTAAAAGGTGGAGTAGATGGTCTGTTTCTGCTGGACCATCTCATGTAATTGTCTTCCTGAAAGGCCCAGTGGGATCAGTTGGGTGACTTTGGCCTCCTCACCTTGTGGGTAGTGATTTGAGAGAGTCCTTTGGGTGGGTCTGTTGTGTCTGTGGACTTCACTGGGAGCATCCCGAGGAGGCTCTTGGTTTACTCGGGCTTTGTGGTGCACCCATCTGCATGGAACTGGGGACATGGACTGAAGTCAGCCATACCCAGCTGGCCTTTGTGGGTGGAGTGGGCCATGCAGGGCTCTGAATGGCTGGTCCCTAGGGGCAGAGATGCAACCCTATGTGCAGATGGTCCTCAACAATCTGGTGGAGATCATTAACAGGCCCAACACACCCAAGACACTACTGGAAAACACAGGTGAGTACCAGGCCTAGGCTGAGAGGGGAGAGTTCTAGGAAGGGTGTCAGTACTTGAAATGGGATTCTGGGAGGAGCCCAAGAAAGAGTCCTGGCTTTAGAATATATGGGAAGAGATCCAGGCTGGGCAGGGAGGACACCTGGATGGGCCAAACTCAAAGGCCCAGGCTAGCCACAGGGTCGTTCAGTTGGGGCCTGTGGGGCGGGGCTCGGTGCCTCCTGTCAGAGGCCCCGCCACGTACCGTCCCGGGGCCACTCGGGGTTGCAGGTCGCCTGACGAGTCCCTCTGCCATTCCAGCCATCACCATCGGCCGCCTGGGCTACGTGTGCCCACAGGAGGTGGCACCCATGCTGCAGCAGTTCATCCGGCCTTGGTGTGTGCCTGCCTGGGTGGGGCCTGCTGGGGGTGGGCAGGACAGCTGTGCTCCCCAGCGCCACCCCCATGGATGCATGTGGGAGACCTCTACCCACGGACACCCCCCCACCCTGTTCCCTTCATCCATCCTTCATCTGTGCTTGCCCAGCCCCAAGTGCATCCACTGACCTGCTGCCCTCCTCCATGGCCAGGTGCACGTCCCTTAGGAACATCCGGGACAACGAGGAGAAGGATTCTGCCTTCCGAGGCATCTGCATGATGATTGGTGTCAATCCTGGGGGTGTTGTGCAGGTCCGGGCAGCGGGGCTCAGAGGGCAGGGCGGGGGCTGGCTTGGGCGGCCCCTCACATGGGATCCGTCATGTTTCAGGACTTTATTTTCTTCTGCGATGCTGTAGCCTCCTGGGTGAGCCCGAAGGATGACCTTCGGGACATGTTTTATAAGGTGAGGCTCTTGCTGGTCCCATGGGAGTCCTGGGGAGTAGACGCCAGAGGCTTGCCCTAGCCCATTGACCCCTGCCTCACTGCAGATCCTCCATGGCTTCAAAGACCAAGTCGGGGAGGAAAACTGGCAGCAATTCTCAGAGCAGTTCCCACCGCTGCTCAAGGAGAGGCTGGCAGCCTTCTACGGGGTCTAGGTGAACGTGGAGACCACCAGGTGAGCAGGGCTTCCAGTGCTCAGGCCTGTCAGAGTGAAAAGGACGAAGGCCCTGACTCTCCTTCTCCCCTGCAGGTTTCTGTCTGCGTCATCGTCGGAGGGTGTGCTGGGGAATGTGCTGCTTCCAGAAGTCACTGTGCCCTGGTCCAGGGGGGTTAGGGAGGAGTGAGTGGGACCTAAATCCAGATGCTACCTAGTCTGTGCATCTGTCCATCTGTTGGTCCACTTGCCCCACCGGGCCTGACGAGTGGGCAGGTGGGTGGGGACTCCATGCTCATCCTACAAATAGGGAGGGGGGTGGGACTTCTTGGTGGGCAAGAGTTCTCTGGGCTCTAATCTGGGTCATCTCAGGCAGCCCATTTGGGCCAGCCATGTGGGAGGGAGGAATCCTAAGGCCTACCGAATCCGGTGTCAGATAAGGCAAGGGAATTACAGGTGGGGAGGGGGGTTCCTTGTAGAGAAGCATACACTCACATGTACACATGTGGACACACGCATGTGCGGGCACCACAGCCAGCTAGGCTGGGCCAGCCGCCCCACCATTTCCTCGACTGCATGGAGACAGTAGAATTAGTGAACCCCCAAATTATGCCTATGGCCTTCTGTGTACCTTGCATCTAAAGTATAAGAAGCTTCCGCTGTTTTGCCGGAATTGGCAGTGATTGGGAGGGCTGGGAGGTTTGGGGGACCTCAGCTGGGCCCCCAGGGCCAAGGGAGGAGGGCGGTCATTTTGGGGCTGCCAAGCACTTGCACACTTTGGACCTGCTCCATACACTTCCTGCCAGCTTCATGGCAGCCTCATCTAGTGTGTCCCCATCTTTGTCACATCCCAGCCAGCAGCAGGGTGGGGGGACCATTGGAGCAGTGGGGACTAGCTTGAGGCTACCCTAGACGCTTTTCCTGTGCTCCAAAGGTATTTAAAGGCACAGGCCTGGGACTAGTTTTCCTTAAGAGAGCTAAGGGCAGCCAGAGCTGCCAGCATGATTTCCTGGATCTCTCTTGAAACAGCTTCAAGGATAGTCCAGCTCTCTGCTCCTGAGAACTCCCTTCTCAAGAGCTAGGGCAACAGCATGTGATTGGTGAGGACAAAGGACAAAGGTTTACTGGGTCCAGCAAGTTTTGAAGGCTTGGGGGCGCAGAGTATATATACCAGGGCCTCAAACTTTGTCCCTTTTGGGACTTAATGTTCATCACAGTGTCCACTGGACTCAGACCCCCCCCCCCCCCACCAGATTGGTACACTGACTCTAAAAATCCTTGAAGAAATTGATGGGGGATGCCATCAAAATGGGAGGGGCTTTCTGAGAGGAGGGTGTGTGTGTGTGATTATTTCCAAATTGGCTGTGGAAATCAGCCTTGCAAGATCCCTGAACGTTTTTTCTTCCATCCCCTTTCTTGCTTCCTACTTCTTTGGGAGCCCATTATATTTTGGGCTTTGACTGGAGTTCTGCATCTTAAGGCCTGCTCCATCATCCCTCTGAGGACCTGGACCTTATCCCATCCAGGCCATGTGTCTTCTCTCAAGTAGGGTCAGGCCCTACCTCTATTCCCAGGGACACTTAGTGCACATTCCATAACTCAGCTAGTGGTCCCAATCCCCTCCAGCCTCAAACTTGAGCAGGTCTCTGGAAGCCATTTGTAGGGAAAAAAAACTTTTTTTTTTAAAGAAAAATACCATTAGCTTTCTGGTAATTCCACTTCTTTGGAGCATCCTCTGCTGGATCTTGGGGTGTATTGATGGATTGACTGTCTGATGGAGTTGTGTCTCCCTCTGCCCAAGGTGGGGGTTCCAACTAACTTCAGGAAAGGGGAGCCCAACTCTTGTATTTTCCCTTTTTTTATTTTATTTTATTATTTTTTAAAAGAAATTATTTAATTCTTTAATTTATTTTTTAGTTGGTTTTTGCACAATAAGTTTCAGTTTCTTAACCTTCTTTGCCCAGGGCTGCGGACACAGACTGACCTTGATCTGCAGGCTCCCCCTCCCCCCCCATTTCCCTGAGTCTTTCATTACCATTACCCTGTGGGCTCCCAGGTCTATCCATCTGTTACTGTGCTGTGCTGGGGACTGGCGCCTAGGTGGCGTGAGATTCCACTTGTGTAGAACTTTGTTGAGTAAAGGTCAGTTTCTTGTGAAACCCTTGGTGTCTGGTTTCCTAGTCCTTGGTTTTGGTGGTAGAGTGGTGTGGATGTGGGCTTCTATGTGACTCCAGTGCTGTGGGGGTAGTGGTGGGAGAATCCATTGGCTCTGGGAGGAATGAGGAGAGAACAATAGAGCAGGATATCTGAGGTTTTTTTCTCCAGGACTCAGTTGGTCCTGGTGGGCTACCTGATTGAGAGAGGAGGATATCAAGTTTGAAATCAGACTGGGTTGATTGAGACATGTCTCAAAAAGGGGCTAGTAGCTAGCTTAGCTAGAGACCTAAAGCCCTGGCTTTAATTCCCAGTAAATTTGAGTGACCAAGGAAACCTGTTTTCGTCTTTGTAGTGTGGGGAGGTGAGTGTGAAAGGGTGATTAGATGTTCTCTGTGGTTAATAACCCAGTAAAGGGCTGCCATGCATTAAACCTAACTGCAAAGCCTTACAACAGACACAACTTTGGGTCACTGGGCAGGCTAGAAATTCTTGGAGATACTAAAATAAGAATAGCTGGCTGGGCGGTGGTGGGGCCTGCTTTTAATCCCAGCACTCGGGAGGCAGAAGCAGGTGGATCTCTGAGAGTCAAGGCCAGCCTGGTCTACAGAGTGAGTTCCAGGACAGCCAGGGCTGTTGTACAGAGAAGCCTTGTCTCGAAAAACCAGAAAAGGAAGAAAAACAAAGCAAAACTGAATGTGACAATGCATGCTTATAATTCAGCTACTTGGAAGACTGAAGCAGGATTGTTGTAAATCGAGACCAGTGTGAAGTTCTCAGAAAAGCCTTTTATGCCAGCTATGTTGGCTTACACCTTTAATGCCGGAATTCAGAAGCAGGTGAATCTATTGAGTTTGAAGCTAGCCTCGTCTATATAGTGAGTTTGAGACCAGATGGGGCTACATGAATGAGACCCTTAAAACTAAGGGGGAAAAAAATCACTTATGTGTTAAGGTTCTACATGACCAATTAGGAATTTGTGGGGAGCTGTACATTGTAGATGCAAAATTATACATTAGTCCTTAATAACCATTTATTGCTCACATCTGTGTCTGATCTAATGTTATTTGGGGCAACCTGAGCCAGAGTTCCTGGGCCATTTTCAATCAACCCAAAAATAAAGTTAATCTCTTGAAGCTTAATTGATGAAGTGCTTGCTGGGTACGGTTGAAAATGTAAGTTAGGATTCCCAACACCCACATAAATGTTGGGGACAGGAGAGCATATCTAACTCCAGGGCTGAGGAGCAGAAATGGATGTATTCCTAAAGCCCACTCTTTGAACCAGCCTAGCTGAAATGGGTATCAGTGACAGACCTGTTTCAAGATAAATGACTCAGCACATAAAGGCATTTGCTGCCTGGTGACCTAAGTTTGATTCCCTCTAGGACCCACCTAAAGGTGAAGGAGAATTGACTCCACAGAGTTGTTCTCTGGCCAGTACATGTATGCTGTGGCATGTAGAAGCACACACCTCACAATAAAATTCACGACAACAAAAAACTAAGATGTAGGTTGAAGAAAACACCCTCTTTCGACCTCAGGCTTCCGAATGCATACAAAGCATAAACTGGCTGGGCTGGAGTGGTAGATGGTCCAGTGGTTAAGAGCACTTTCGGCAAGGTGTGGTGCATGCCTTTAACTGCGGCACTCGGGAATCAGAGGCAGACGGATCACTGAATTCGAGGCAATCCTGGGTTACATGGTGAGACCATGTCTAAAAAAGCACTTGGTCTTGCAGAAGACCTAAGGTGCGTTTCCGGCACCCACACCAGGCGGCTGCCGCCCTGTATCTTTAGCTTTAAGGGATCCCAAACACATAAAAGTAAAAGTAAATCCTTAAAAACAACAAAAGACTTCCTTTGAGATGACAGTCGCACAACCAAAAGAAGTGACCCACTTGCGATTTAGACTTTCCGTTTCCGTGCTAGTATCCCGCTTCCAGTGGTTTCTGACGTCACCTAAAAAGCGCCGGAAATGACCTCGCGCTGCCTAGGAAACAAGACGCGGCCCAGTGGTAGCCAAACCTGGCACAGCCGCACCCACCCTGTCGCCATGGAGCTTCCCTCAGGGCGGTGTGGGGATCCTCGCTCTTGTGACGATGAGTCGGACCCTGAGCCAGACCCGGACCCTGACGCTCAGGCCGAGGCCTACGTAGCCCGTGTGCTTACCCCACCCAAACCTAGCCTGACCCCGCGGCGCTCGTCGCTGCAGTCCACGCTCTCCGCCTCCCTGGGCGCGCCCGAGCGAAAGGCTGCCTCTAGAGTCCCAGCCGTGCGCCTGCCGGGCCTGCTGAGCCTTCCCCCGGAGCTGCTGCTGGAGATCTGCGCCTACCTGGATGCGCGGGTCGTGCTCCATGTCCTGCCGTGCGTGTGCCAAGCACTGCACGACCTTGTGCGTGATCATGTCACCTGGAGGCTACGCGCTCAGCGCCGCGTACGCGCACCCTACCCAGTGGTGGAAGGTACGCACACCCCGGGGAACAGGAACTCCTGCCCAGGTCAGGCTTGGGATGGGAGAAAGAGGTACCTGGTCTGAGGGTGCGCACAACTTCTGGTGCAGGCTTCGAGGCTGTCCCAGCTCTGACTGGAGGCGGAGGAAATTTCGGATCTTGCCTAATCTTTAATCTGCCACAAGTCAGATACTTGGCTTCCTCAGGCAGAGCTCTGAACCTGGGCTCTCTAAACTTAGAATTTAAAGATTCCCCGTTTTGGGCTTTGTTAGCACTAAGGCCCTAGCCCTGATGGGGATAACTCTAGGACTTTTTGGATTGTACTTGGAGTGAAAATGGGTCCAAAGAATCCTCAGGCTCTGGATACAGCCTGAGACACAAGCAGCAACTGGCTTAACAAAGCCCCCAGGATAGGTGAAGCAGAGGTTCTGAATCTCTAGATTCCCAAACCTGAACTAGTGTCGGGATTTAGAAGTTGGGATCGTTGATACCAGTAAAAGTTGATACCTGAGTGTAGCCTGTCATCTTTTTTATTTTTTATTTTGAGACAGGTTCCCGATTCTCCTTCTTTGGCCTTAGAAGTGCTGGGCTAGCCTGTCAGCTTTGCAAAGCTGTTGTGTTATTCCTTCTGCCCCTGAGTTCATTGGTTTGTGGAGGAAAAGAAAACTTGAAATTGATGATTTTGAGTTTTTGTCTTTCTTAAACTTTTTTTTAAAAGGGTTATATGTATGGAACTCAGAGCTTTGGGTATGCTAGGCAAATGCTTTATTTACCACGTGTTACATCCTCAACACAACTTTGAGATAGTGTTGATCCTAATGTTACTGGGTCCTTAGGCTCTTGAGACAGACACATGGCAAGCTGAATGGTTGATTCCTCTGACCTGGAAGAGTTTGATTGTGCAGACTTCTGGATTAGGGAGTTGACCTCCAACCCCCAGTCAGATTTCCAAACAGCTTTGATAAAAGCTGGTGCTTGAACCTCATCCAAGCCATTGAATGGGTGACCTGGGGTTTAGAATCTGTCTTGGGAGGGAGGGGGATCTATTAGGAATACCCAGGGCCCTGTGCTTCCTAGGTAAGTTCTCAACTGCCAAGCCATACTTTCCACTCCTTGGCTTCTGTGGCTTCCTGGTTTATAGTTAGAAGTTTAAGAACTGTGTCCCGGCTGGGCGGTGGTGGCACACAGTTTCAATCCCAGCACTCGGGAGGCAGAGCCAGGCGGATCTCTGTGTGCCTGAGTCTGGGTCAGGTGGCTGAGGCCAGAAGGGTTGGTTTAGTCTTGAGGCCCTGAAGAGGACTGAGGGTGAGGCTCTTGTCACCTGTGGTCGGTCGTGGGATGAAGGTTGGAAAGTGTAGTTTAGGTTTCTTAGAGTTGGGTAAGTATTCCTAGTCCTCCATGGGAGATGGGTGGTCAGATAGTCTGAGGCAAGGCCAGAGTCTGTGCCTGCTTAGGGTGGGGGATAGCATCCAGCTGGCATTCTATGCAGGTCTGGTGAAGGTTGGGCTCCCTGGCAGCCAGGGCTGGACTCTCTCAGCTGATGCCCACTGACTATCCTGCTCATGGTGCCCCACAGAGGAGGACTTTGACTGGCCAGCTGCCTGCATCGAGCTGGAGCAGCATCTGGCCCGCTGGGCAGAGGATGGACAGCGAACTGAGTACTTCTGCCTGGCTGATGGTCACTTTGCTTCCATTGATGCAGTGTTGCTGCTGCAGGTGAGGGGGCTTAGGTGGGAGGCCAGGCGAGGTGAAGGGTGGGGAACCTCAACATCTCCATGCTCTCCTGCCAGGGTGGGGCACTGTGTCTGTCAGGTTCCCGAGATCGCAATGTCAACCTGTGGGACCTACGACATCTAGGAAAGGAGCCTAGCCGAGTTCTGGTGAAGGCCTTGGGTACCCAGGGCAACAGCACACACAAGGTGAGCAATCCTGGGGGCATTAAAGAGGCTGGGAGGGCGCTGTAGCTCGGGTTGGGTTTTGATGGCAGGTTGCATAGACTTGACTCTATGCCTGCTGGTGGTGTAACTTTTGGTGAGTTCAGTTTTCCCTGTCCAGTGGGTGGTAAGATGAAGCTGGGTTAAGTATTAATATGCATATGCCATAAATTCAGTCTTTGGTGCACAATAGGTGCTCAATAAGTTGTCAGGTATACCTCAAGAGGCCCAGTGCAGAACAGTTATAAAGCCACCATTGGGGATCAGCTAGCCTTCAGTATGACTATCCTTTCATGAGAAGTGGCTGATAAATGACAGTTCTACCCATCCTTAAGATGATCTGTGCCCATGACCAACAGATTGCGGGCTGAGTTCAAATGTCCTGGCTATGTGTTCTTGGGTGGGGGAACAGTCAACCTCTCTGTACCCAAGTTGCATCATTTATCAAACAGCATATATTACTGTACCCTTCTCAAAGGGTTTGGCAGGGAATGTCTTGGCCAGATGCCAGCTCACTATACATAGTAACTGATAAGGTAGGAACTGGGTTGGGTTGTTTTTTGTCCCCCCCTATTTTTGTAAATAGAAAAGGGAAGGCATTTGGTTAGTTAGGTTCTGGAGTAGAAGCTGCACTTTTCTTTTTTTAATTAAAAATTTATGTGTGTGGGTGTTTTAGCTGCAGGTAAGTCTGTGCATCAAGTGTACATCTGGTGCCCATGGAGGCCAGGAGAGGGCATTGGGTCCCTTGGAACTAGAGTTATAGGTGGTTGTGAGCTGCCATGTGGGTGCTGGAAATCAAACCTGGGTCCTCTGAAAGCTCAGAAATGTTGAGCCATCTTTCTAGCCCTGAGGCTGCATTGTTAATCCAGTTGTTTGAGGCCTCAAACCTCCATTAATGTGGGCCTCTGAAGGCCTTGACTTAGACCGTGATGGCTCATGCCTGTAATACCAACACTGTCAGGAAGCTAAAGGCACAGGGTTGTTCTGAGTTTGAAGCTAGCCTGTGTGTTCCTTTAGCCTGTAAGCAAACTCCATGGATATCTTGTAATAAACCTGAGCTACATAATGAGCTCTGGACTGTAGTCAGACTCTTTCAAGAGCAGAAGAACAAAAACAAGCTATTGAAAACTGCTAGAGTGTAGCTCAGTGATACAGCACTTGCCTAGAATGTGTTGAGGCTCTGGATTCTATCTTAGCACAAAGAGAGGGTGAGGGGCACTGAGAGAGAGAGAGAGAGAGAGAGAGAGAGAGAGAGAGAGAGAGAGAGAGAGAGATCTCTAGACACCGCTGGGGACGTGTGTTCTTGTCCCCAGGTTCTGACAGGCTTGCAGACCCGGACCCTGACCTCCCACACTGGGATTGGTTGAGTTCGTTGGTTGTTTTCTCCTCCTTCTGACCCTTCGTTTTTGTTGTCTGTGGGAAGGGATGTTTACATAGAGTGGGAATTATGTTCATTACTGAAGTGTTTGTGGAAGTGGGCATGAGGGGGGAAATGCTGTTTGGCTTTGAGTGAATCTGTTCATCTCTTGGATCCTTCTCTGCAAAAGCAGGAAGGTCCAGACTTCTTCTTGGGCTTTGGGGAGGAGAAAGCCATGAGCTGTTGTACAGCTCTTAAAGTGTGTTGTCTTTTGTGTCTGCTCCCACAGGGCTGGGTGTGGTCGCTAGCAGCACAGGACCACCATGTATGCTCCGGCTCTTGGGACAGCACTGTGAAGCTGTGGGACATGGCAGCTGATGGACAGCAGTTTGGCGAGATCAAGTGTGAGGGGGCCCGGGCAGGGGGCCTGGGTGGGTAGGGCCCTGCCCAAGCCATCACCCCAGCCTTGTGTGCCGTGTATCCCCAGGGGCAAGGCGGCAGTGCTGTGCCTCTCCTACCAACCTGACATCTTGGTGACTGGTACCTATGACAAGAAAGTGACCATCTATGATCCCAGAGGTGAGCTTTTAATTGTAGTGCTTACAAGGCAAGCAGATATCTGTGAGTTCAAGACCAGCATGGTCTACATAGTAAGTTCCAGGCCAACTAGGGCTACACAGTGAGACCCTGGCTCAAAAACAAAACAAAAGAAACACAAAACAACAACAGAAAAGAACTCTGGGGTTGGGGTGGGGGGCAGGGGCTTAAGAGATGGCTCAGCAGTTAAGAGCACTGGCTGTCCCTCCAGAGGACCTGGGTTGGGTTGGGAGGCACCCACATGACTGCTCACAACCACCTGAAACTCCAGTTTAAGAGGATTAATTGCCTTCTTCTGGCCTCCATGGGCAGTGTATGCATGCCATGCACAGACAGACACATGTAGGCAAAACACCCATACATGTAAGATAAAAAAGGAATCTCAAAAATGAAAAAAACGAACACTGAGTCATTCGAACAAAGAACATTGGTGGGTGACAGAAATCTGACTGCACTGTGATACGCTGTTCTCATTGCAGAGACTGAACCTAGTGCCTCCTTCATGCTAGACGAGTGCCTTGTCCCTGAACTATGTTCATCTTGAGATAGAATCTCACTGCTTTGCCCAGACTAGCCTCAAACTCACTCTATAGCTTAGGCTGGCCTCCACTTAATATATTAATCCTCCTATCTCAGCTTCTAGGTTCCTGAGTAGTTGGGATTACAGGGCTGCACCATGAGGCCTGACTGATGATTAATCTCCCCTGCCCCCATCCTGGGATGGAAGCCAAGGCCTTGTGCTTGCTAGGCTATTGCTTAGCTGCTGAGCTTTATCCCCACCCCAGCCATGACTGAGTCATCGTACTCCACTAAACTGAAGAGATCCTGAGATGGACTTAGGCTTGGGTGGAATGAAGTGCTTGGTTCTGTGTTGTGAGGGACTGATGGGGTCGGAAGGGACAGTGGCATGGAGGCAGGGGCCAGGAAAGGACAAAAGCCTGTGGGTCCCGATTCAGGTGGCTGCTGAGGGGAGGGGAGTGATCAGGTGCGAAGCTGAGCAGGTGGAAGGTTTTTCCAGGTGAGATGGTGGCCCAGATCCTCAGGTGGGCCTGAGTCTCTGAAGGGCTCTGATATCCTCCTTTTCCCCTGGCCCATCATCTCACTCCAGCTGGCTTGGCCCTGGTGAAGAGCCGGAGGCTGCACTCGAGCGCTGTGCTAGCGGTGTTGGCAGATGATAGGCATATCATCTCAGGCAGTGAGGACCACAGTCTTGTGGTATTTGATCGCCGAGCCAACAGCGTCTTGCAGCGGCTGCAGGTAGGTTGCCCTTCCCAGTGGCCCTGAGGGGATTGCAATGCGGCTTGCCATTTCTGAGCTGCTCTGTGCCTTGTCCTTCCCACAGCTGGACTCCTATCTGCTCTGCATGTCCTACCAGGAGCCCCAGCTCTGGGCGGGTGACAACCAGGGCCTGCTGCACGTCTTCGCCAACCGAGATGGTTGCTTCCAGCTCGTCCGGGTCTGCTAGGACCCCTGTCTGTGCCTCCCCTGTGCCGCCGAGGGGGTGGAGGGCTAACCATGGGAGAACTCTCCCTGAATGTCACCCATCCTTTCTCCCTTAGTCCTTTGATGTGGGTCACCAGTCTCAGGTCACAGGGATCAAACACTCGCTGGGGACTTTGTACACAACATCTACTGACAAGACCATTCGGGTGAGAACACTGGTACACACACACACACACACACACACACACACACACACACACCCAACTGGCCAGGTCACGTACCCTGACCTCTGCCCGTTACCCTTCTCAGGTTCACGTGCCCACAGACCCACCCAGGACCATCTGTACCAGAAGCCACCACAATGTGTTGAATGGGGTAAGGTCCTGCCCCATATAGCCTGTTGGCCTACCAAGAGCCCCCACCATCCCCTAAATCCCTTGTCACTGCTCCCCAGATCTGCGCTGAGGGTAACGTGGTGGTGGCTGCCTCCGGTGGACTGTCACTGGAGGTCTGGAGGCTGCTGGCCTAAACAGCTGTACATGGCTGTGGATGGGTATTGGTATATACTGCCTGCTGAGGCTGCACCTAAGCCTCAGCTCTGGAGGACCTTCCTGCTATTGGTGCTGCTTCTGCCCTGCTCCACAGGCCTGGGGCACAGGAAGACCTAGGGCTGGGCCCACACCCGTGCCTGTGGAGGTGACATTCTAGTTTTAGCCACCCAGGGGCCTATTCCCTACCTTCCACCCCTGGATTGTTTTGTTTTGTTCATTGAGACAGGGTCTCATGTAACCCAGACTGGCCTCATACCCACTATGTTTTTGAGGCAGGTCTCGAAGCCTGATCCTCCTGCCTAAATCTCCAAGTGTTGGGATAACAGGTGTACCCCCACGCCCGGATGATCCCTGTTTTGTCAGGATTTGGGTGCCTCTCTCCCACAGGAGAGTGAAAGAGAAATAAACGACCTACTGTGCAATTGTTGGTAACTGGAGTGTGAGCTTTCTGTGACCGCATGTCTGTGCCTTTTTGGGGTTGTACATGTGACTGAGTGGGAAGGGTAGCATGCTAGGGCTGGGGTGCCTGCTGCTCAGTGTGCACTCAAGGACCATGGACACTTGGTCTGATGTAACTTAGTGAGGTGCTTGTGGGCTATGTGGCATGTAGACTCTGACTCAAATTCCCAGTGTAGGTCTATATGGAGGGAGTAGACACCTGCCCCAACCACCCTGTAGGCTTGTGGCAGGGGGCCATAGTGCAGGTCTCTTCACGTAGGGCTCTAGGTGCGCAGATGTGTGCGGCTATGACTATGGAAATGGGCATAGACGGAAGCCTGACAGGTGTGCACTGATCCCCAAAAGCTGTGGTACCCCTCAGCCTCCCGCTTCAGCACACACAAGTTGTAACACAGGAGCAATCATGTTTATTGAGGCCCTTCTTCCTGTGGTATCCAGGGTCACGGGGCAGTAGCATTATCATGGGTTCATAGGATAGCACAGGGCTTCTTTTCCTTGAAAGGGTTGGTGGCAGCTGGGATGCCCACAAGGAAAGGGTCGCTTTTGGCCTGCTCTGTGCAGAACTGCAGCAAATCTGTGGCTGCCTTGGACACCTGCAGACCAACCAAGTCAGCCACCTCTGGGTGTCCACCTGCCCCCTTGCCCAGCTGTGCCCACCCCAAGGCTGTCCCGACCCTCACCTGTATGCGGTTGATGCCTGCCTCCATCCGCAGTTGCTCTACCGCCCGGCGGGCCTGTCCAATGTCACTGCCAATGGCCACCTTGTTGGACATCTGGGAAAAAAGGTGAGCAGGGCTGTGCAAGCCTGAGCTTCCAAGCTTCTGCAACTCCTTCTGGGTCCCTGGCTATTCCTGGTTCCCGCACGTTCAGATACCTCAGCTGAAGACTCCTGAACACGTTTGGCTGCCTGCTCCAGCCTCAGCTACCCCACTCTGGCTCCCTTCTCAATACTGGCCTCAACACTTCAATCCCCCAACCCCCACCCCTTTCCAGTCCCTGCAGAGACTTTGAAGCCAGGATCCAGTGAAATGTCACCAGCAACAACAGCAGCAGCTGCTGAGACAGGGGGTCCGGTCCCCAGGAGGCCCAGTGGCTGCTTTGGTGTCACATGTTTCTTGGATCTCCTGGGGCACTAGGCAGCTTGGCTGCAGGCCTGAAGGATGTGGGACTCTGACTTGCTAGATATCTGTGGACTGTCCCCAGCAGACCTCCCTCCTTGCCTCTGCCATCCTTTGCAGGCTGGCTGTACCCTGGCTCGGCTCTCTCCTGAACTCCAGACTGTCTTTTTAATAACTTCCCCAACTCCACTTTTTTTTTTTTTTTTTTCTTGAGACAAGGTTTCTCTGTGTAGCTTTGCGCCTTTCCTGGAACTCACTCTGGCCGGCCTCGAACTCACAGAGATCTGCCTGGCTCTGCCTCCCAAGTGCTGGGATTAAAGGCGTGCGCCACCACAGCTGGCTCCCAACTCCATTTTTTTTTTTTTTTTTTTTTTTTTTTTTGGTTTTTCGAGACAGGGTTTCTCTGTGTAGCTTTGCGCCTTTCCTGGAACTCACTTGGTAGTCCAGGCTGGCCTCGAACTCACAGAGATCCACCTGGCTCTGCCTCCCGAGTGCTGGGATTAAAGGCGTGCGCCGCCACCGCCCGGCCCAACTCCATTTTTAAAAATGTTATTTTATGGGGTTTTGAGTCTCTCGAAGCCCAGGCTGACTTTGCCCTCAAGCCTGACATCACTCTTGTGTGTTATACCTCTCACCATGTTCATCCCCAGACCTGCATCCCAGCTGCTCGGGCACCCATCTCCAAGGCCTCCATCCCTCTCCTTCAGGAGCCTCCATATCTAACTGCCTCAGGTACCCTCATAACAGCCTTTTGGTTTGTTTTTGCTTTTTTTGTTTTTTTGATACAGGGTTTCTCTGTGTAGCTCTGGCTGTCCTGCAACTTGCTTTGTAGACCAGGCTGACCTCAAATTCAGAGATCCACCTGTCTCTGCCTTCCTGGGTTTAAAGGTGTGTGCCACCACCACCTGGCCCTATCAGCCTTTAAGTGAAGTTCTCAGTCTGGTTCCTGCTCTTATTGTTCATGCCAGTGGTCTTCCTCCCCAACCCTGACCCACTGGCCTGAACCGGTACAGTCAGTCCCTCTGTGTCATCTGCCAGCTTTTCTTTGCCCTGCCCTGGCTGTTTTGGGCTTGGTGGTGCACACCTGTGATCCTGTCACCCGGGAGGCTGGCCTGGGCTACACAGTAAGACTTTGTCTCAAACAAAACCAATCGAGGTGGGGGGTGGGGTGGTTGGCACCATGTGTATTCTAAGCTACTCTAGAGGCTGAGGTGGAAAGATTGTTTACTGGGGGCCGGGAGTTAGAGAGCATCCTGGGCCACAGAAGGACTGGTCAAGAAAATCAGAAACGGCTCTCCACCTGCTCTGCAGTCTCTTGCAGTAAACTCATCCTTTGCACAGTCCACAGGATGCTGCTGCCAGATTACTTCTTGGAATTTCCTTTGTTATTTATATGATCAACACCACTATTATCATTCAGAGAGCGGCTGGCTGTGTGTCATCTAGACTCATCTTTCTCTAGGCTACAATGTCCGCCTGCCTCATCCCCTTGAGTAGCTGGGACTCTAGATGCTCCCACGGCACCCAGCCTCTTATCATCTTCCTCCTTATCCCGAAGGGATTACCCTGACACTGTTGTTTATTTGTTCCTTTGTTCATCCGTCTGTCTGTCTGTCCATCCATCCCATCCATCCATCCATCCATCCATCCATCCAGCCAGCCAGTCAGCCAGCCAGCAGTGTATTAGCCTTGAGCTGCTATAACAAATGCCACAGACTGACACAGGAATTATTTGTTGGCTGGGTGGCTGGAGGTCAAGGTGCTGGTTTTGGTTTCTCTAGAGATTGTTGTTTCATCAACTTCTTTTTAAAAATTATTTTAAAATTGCATTCATTATCCCATTATCTATCAGGAGGTAGAAGCAGGCTGATCTCTGAGTTGAGGCCAGCCAGGTTTACATAGTAAGGAGAAGGGAGTGGCGTGTAGAAGGGCAAAGTGGCTGGATTTGTCAGCCACTCAGGCAAGTCAGAATCACATGGTGAGACTGTCACAAAAGTATTTATTTTGTGTGTGTTGGGGGGAGGGGAGGTGAATGTGGAGTCCGTTTTCTCCTTCTACCATGTGGGTCTTGGGGATTGAACTCAGGTAGCCAGGCCTCCTGACAGTGGCCTTTACCTGGTGAGTTATGATCTCCCCAGCACAGAGGTCGTCTGCCTGCTGTGTCCTCAGCTGCTCTTCTCTCTGCATGCATGTCACCGTCCCCGAGTGTCTATCTGATCATAACAGCCATTCCCATCTTAATCAGAGCAGCTCTGACTACCTACAATCAGCCCTCAAGATTGAACCTGTTCCCTCACAGAAGAAGGGGGTGAGGGTCATCAGACTCTCACCTGGGAATCCAGCCACTTTGCCCTTCTACATGCCACTCCCACATGTATGCAGTTCTCCGGCCACACATGGTATCGGGCAGTCCTAGCATATAGAGATTACCTGAAGTGGGCTCTATCTATGCGTCTCTGGAGGAGTAGTGTCTCTGAAATCTAGGTCTTCTGGCCTTGGCCAAAATGCCATGTGTTTGGCATTTTTCTCCAGTCACTTTTTCCTTCAGCTAAGGTTACCAACTCCTCCATCCACCTTTGTGTGTGTGTGTGTGTGTGTGTGTGTGTGTGTGTGTGTGTGTGTATAGGCCAGAGGACAACCTCAGATGTCATTCCTCAGGAGACATCTGCCTGGTCCCCAGACCTTTTATTTTGTGCATGTATGAGCATGTGCATGCATGGCATGCTTGTGGGGGTCAGAAGATGATTTATGGGAGTCCAAGGCTCTTTCCTTTTACCATGTGCCTCTGGCCACTCAGCACTCTTGCAAGCCCTACCCCCAGGGACCTGCTTGTCTCTACTTCTCCAGAGCTGGAATTACTGGCACCGCCCTCACACCCTTTTTTTCTTTTTTTTAAATTCTGGGAATTGAACATCCAACCCACACTCTTGCAAAGCCAGGGCTTTGCTGACAGTTATTTCCCTAGCCCGAACGGGTCTCACTCTGTAGTTCAGGCTGGCCTGGAACTTGAGATTCTTCTGCCTCCATCTGACTGCCGGCTAGTGTCTGCACCTCCTGACTGCTGTCTGGTGTGTGCCCCGAGCCTGGCTTAACCACAGTTTTCTGTTTCATCGTTCAGACTATGGACATCAGGAGGGCAGAGGTCTTGTTCACTGCTGAATCTTAGTGCCCAGCAAAGAGCACTATTTAGTGTAGACCACACAAACTGTAGAATTAAAAGTGCTCCTGTGGCTTCTTGGGGTAAATGATGGCAGTCATCCCTGCCTCCCACAAGAGGCCCGTGATCCAGTGGGAGGTGACAACTGTGGCTGGAGTGTCAGAAGAGGCAAAGAAGTTTGCGGAGACTCTGGGAGGCACCAAAAGGAATCACTATTCCATTTGACAAGATGCTGCAACTAACTCATTTTGCCTGATGTCCTAATGCTGTCCAAAGGCTCCGTCTTAGGAACAATCATCTCGCTCATAGGAGCCAATGTACGGAACACAGGAGTAAAATGGCCGCTACCAGGACTGCAGGGTCTATGCAGGGTCATGTGACTTAATAACTTCCGGTCCTCTCCCTTTTCCCCCTCCCCAGCTCTCGAGTCCCATTTCCTGGGCTGGGCCGACCACGCTGAGAGAGATTCAGCGGGTCCCGAGGCACCGAGGTGGCTGCGATCTGAGAGCGGCCACGGGCGCATGGAGGGGACCCCGCAGGGGGCGGCGCCCGCCGCGGCGCTGGCCGCCGTGCTCAAGCACAGCTCGGCGCTGCCGCCCGAGAGCGCCCAGGTTCAAGGGTACGACTTCAACCGCGGCGTAGATTACCATGCACTTCTGGAGGCCTTCGGCACCACCGGCTTCCAGGCTACCAATTTTGGACGCGCGGTGCAGCAAGTCAACGCCATGGTGAGGCGCAGGGCTGCCCAGGAGCGGGACGGGAGGGCGGGACCGCCGCGCAGATCCGCGCGTGAGTGTCTGGACGGGGCGGAGTCCTGGTAAGTTCGCGTTCTGGGACGGCGGTGCTTGGGGTTAGAAGGGCATTGTAGGAGGAGCTTAACGCCGGGAGAGCCCTGGGTTCACTTTTCCCAGTGGAAGGAGACTTGAAGACGCTATGTGGTTGGTTCCTAAAAGGGAACAAATCCTAAGTGACAGACCTGAACCGGGAAAGGGAGGCTAGGACCTGCACAGGGGTTGTGCTTTGTTTTTGAAGTAGACCTGTATCCCTGAGTACAATCAGACTCTGGAATCCAATCCGTCTGGGGTTCCTCGACTGAGGTTTGGAGTCAGTGTGACTTTCCTGTGCCCTCATGCGCAGATTGAGAAGAAGCTGGAGCCGCTAGCACCAGATGAAGACCATCACGAAGACCTGACGCAGAGCCGCCGCCCACTCACAGGCTGCACCATTTTCTTAGGCTACACATCCAACCTAATCAGCTCGGGCATCCGTGAGACCATTCGCTACCTCGTGCAGCACAACATGGTGGGTCCACATTACGTCTGGCTTCCACCTCCTTGGGCTAGTGGATGGTAAAGCTACTCTTCATTTAAGAGAAATGAAGAGGGGTCTGAAGAGGCTTAGAGGTTAAGAGTATTTGTTGCTCTTGTGGAAGACCTGGGTTTGGTTCCCAGCACCCATGTGGTGCCTTACAAATGTCTGTAACTCCATTTCCAGGGATGTAGGCAAAACACCAGTACACATTAAAAAAAAAAAAAAAAAAAAGTAATTTTAAAAAAGGATGTGAGGAGATGGATTTTTGTTTTTGGACATGCCTTATGCCTTAGCCTCCTGAATGCTGAGATCACAGGAGTGTGCACTTTTTCTGGCTATGGGTCTGCTTTAAGCAGGGGAACAGGCTTGAGTTAGTTTTGTTGCATGCTTTGGGTCTAAATGAGCTCAGGCTGATGTTAGGAGTGCTGCTTAGAATGAGGGTTAGTGTTGTTGCCTGTGATTACAGGTGGATGTACTGGTGACTACTGCTGGAGGCGTGGAAGAAGACCTCATCAAGTGTCTGGCACCCACATATCTTGGCGAGTTCAGCCTCAGTGGGAAGGAGCTCCGAGAGAATGGGATCAACAGGTGGGGCCCTGAGCAGTGGGGGCAGGGGAGCTGGGCTGAGAGTCTTGGTGACTGATGCCCAGGAGCCTCCCATCTCCAGGATTGGGAACCTGCTGGTTCCAAACGATAATTACTGCAAGTTTGAGGACTGGCTCATGCCCATTTTGGACCAGATGGTGCTGGAGCAGAACACAGAGGTAGGGTTGGAAGGGTTCTGGAGGACCTGCACAGTGGCTGGAGTCAGAAGACATACGGGCTAATGCTGATGTTCTCTTCCTTGTAGGGTGTGAAGTGGACACCTTCCAAGATGATCTCCCGGCTCGGCAAGGAGATTAACAACCCAGAGTCTGTGTATTATTGGGCCCATAAGGTGGGTTGGTGGGGACGACGTTCTTAGGCTTTGGCATGTGCTGACTTGTTTTGTCTTTGCAGCCACCTGGGAGTCTCTATAATTATTCTTAGTCTTCCTAGACTTAGATGAGGAGTGTCAAACACAGAGAGGCTAGGCAATCTATCTGTTGAATGAAGGGCTCTAATGTCCTAGCTATGCCCCTACACTGTTGGGACCACTTAGGTGTAGTGCTTAAGAACCCCTTGGGGCCTGACCCAGGGTATCATGCTCCCAGAGACAGTGGAGTGTGAGTCTGGGAAATAATGAGCTCAGTGTGCCAGACACCTTCTTAGAGGTGTGCATGGCTCTCCTCTCATCAGCCTCACGTCCACAAGAGAAATAAGCAGCTTGTTCAGGTAGAGAGGGAGGGATATCACTGGGTTGGGAATCAGAGTTTTTCTGGGCTATGAGCTGTAGCTGCTAACTGGTCCTGTCTCCACACCAGAACCACATTCCTGTGCTGAGCCCTGCACTCACAGATGGCTCACTGGGTGACATGATCTTCTTCCATTCCTACAAAAACCCAGGCTTAGTTCTGGACATTGTTGAAGGTGAGGTGCTAAGACCTTGGGAGAAGAGGGAGAAGGGCCCACTGAGACCAGTGCCTGACCTCAGCCCTCTCTCTCAGACCTGAGACTCATCAACATGCAGGCCATTTTTGCCAAGCGCTCTGGCATGATCATCCTGGGTGGAGGTATGGTCAAGCACCACATCGCCAACGCTAACCTTATGGTGAGTGGGGTGGCCCCTGGCAAGTGTCTCCATTGCAGACATGGCATGCTAGGCATGGACTACAGCAGTGGACTAGATGGGCCAGAATCTCTGTCCTCTTTGGAGTGACGTTGGTGTGAGGCGGTCGGCCAGTAGTGACGTGCACGCTGTGTGGCAGTGACTCTAAGGACATAAGTAAGTCATGTCAGTCAGGCAGGGTACTATAGTCCCAGCTACTTGGGAGACTCAGGCAGGAGGATGGCTTGTACATAGCTCAAGGCCAATCTGGAATGCTATAATGTGAAAGGAATGCTGTTGAATAAAGGGAGTGTTGGAAAAAGCTTCTGAGAAATGTGACCTTGCACAGACATTTTCAAGAGGTTCCTCCCACAGGCCTTATGGTTATGTTATGGGAAGAGCCTTCCTAGTGAGTGAACAGCCAGTACAGAGGCCCCGAGGCACCTGAAGTAGCCAAGGAACAGTGTGGAGTGGAGTGAAGTCCCAGAGGTTAGGCTGCAGAGCTAGCTGGGCCTGTGGAACAGAAGAAGAAAGTGAGGACAGGACTCCGGGGGCTTGCAGAGGCCTGTGCTGGCTGTGGGTGTGAGTGATGGGGCCGTGGGAACAGGAGGTTTGATCTGCAGATGGTGGTTGCAGCCACTGCTGAGCACAGGGTGTTGACTATAGCTCAGCTACCCTTTTTCATGGAGACTACTGGCCTCTTTGTTGCGCAGGCTGGTCTTGACTCCCTTGGATCAAGGATCTTCTTGCCTTGCCGTGCCCAGTAGCTGGAACCACAAGCCTGTGTCAGCACAGCTGGCTCAAATGTCCCTTAACCAAAATGCTTGGTAACATCAGTGTATTGGATTGGTGTTTTGTTGTTTTATATTTAAAATTTTAGATTTACATACACATTTTGGGTCAGAAACCTAGAAGGAAAAACATGTCCAGGATTTAAATGTGAATGGCATATAGCTTGAAGGTAATTTCATACACATTTTTAAAATTTTATTTTTAATTATGAGTATATATGTGTGCCTGTGTGCACTTGTGAGTGAAGTACAGGTGTCCATGAGAGTCCAAAAGAGGACATTGGATCATCTGGAGCTGGAGTTACACATGATTGTGAGCCACTTGACGTGAATGTGGGAATTGAATTCAGGTCCTCTGTCAGAGCATGAAATACTCTGACAGGAGAGCTGTCTCTCCAGCCCTATATACACTATTCTCACTTTGCCTGTGGTTTAACTGACTTGTCACACGGGTGCTTAGAAGGTGGTACATTTTGGCTTAGGGAGGGATAGCTTGTACCCAGAGGTGGTTGTGTTGGAAACATGGACCATCTCACCTGCCCACTAACTTCAGGCACTGATGGGCCCTTCCTAGAAGCTCTCAAGGCCTTCCACTGTGTCATACCCCAGCTTCCTTGGCTCTGGTATCTGTCTATGGCTTCTGACCAGGCTCTCCTCTGCCCACAGCGGAATGGGGCTGACTACGCTGTCTATATCAACACAGCCCAGGAGTTTGATGGTTCAGACTCAGGAGCCCGGCCAGATGAGGCTGTCTCTTGGGGCAAGATCCGGATGGATGCACAGCCAGTAAAGGTAGAAGCTGCTGCCTAGGGTGAGTCCATGGGCTGTGGCCGTGGGTCCCATCCCTCACCCAGGTTCTCTACAGGTCTATGCTGATGCTTCTCTGGTCTTCCCCCTGCTGGTGGCTAAGACATTCGCCCAAAAGGCAGATGCCTTCACAGCTGAGAAGAATGAGGACTAAACCAGAAGATTGGTAAAGACTGGGGTTCTTGCCTTTATTTATTAACTTTACACACCAGCCCCTCCTTGGGCCCGCCCACTCCTTAGTCAGCAGCGTCTCTAGAATAAACGGTCTTTGTTGGGTCTTCTGAGTTGGTCTGGGTCCTTTGGCTTGGTGTCAGATCCCTAAGCCTCAGCTTGCCTCACCCTCTGCCTCATAGGTCTCTTCTCGCCAGTACTGGATGCTGCCCCCCATGGCTGTCAGCAGGCAGGGTTCCGTGGGATGGTAAGCCAGTGACTGTACCACACTAGAACCCACGGGCAGGGCCAGTGCCAAGGCACCCTAAGGAATGAATGGTGGGGAGCAATTACTAGTGATCAGGCTGTCTCCTTGAGATCCAGCCTGAAGTCCTCAGTCACCTCTTTTCTGACTTCTTTTGGTGGTGCTGAGAATGTTAGGCAAATCTTGCCACTGAGCCACACCCTCAGCCCAAAGACTCCCAACGTTGGACATAGAAAGGCCCTGGCCAAGCCAGGCAGTGGTGGCAAACACCCTTAATCCCAGCACTCCAGAGGCAGAGCCAGATGGATCTCTGTGAGTTCAAGGCCAGCCTGGTCTATAGAGTGAGCTCTAGACAGGCACCAAAACTACACAGAGAGACCCT